AAGAATGAAAAACACTGCAATAGGTTTCACTTTCAATAGACTTGAACTTGCATTAACAAAATGTCTAAACAGCCATGTGTTAAAGGGATACTACGTCCTGGATTATACCCAATCGGGCTACAAAACACGTTTTGAAAGAGATGATGTTAATCGAAAAGAACTTTAAAAGTAGGATATGAACATCCACACAACTATCCTTTAATCATTGGGCGCTTTTGTGTTATTCTTGTATTAATCATGCGAGAATGAATTTGGGGTCCAATCTTTTGCGGATGTTTGAGAAACCACTTTATTTGCGCATTGGTATAGTGCTGCGTGTAATATCTATGCAACACACACAACGTGTATCGTACATTGTATGAAAACGACTGGAAAAATGTATGTGTTCTCCATCGTGTCTGATGTAAAAAAACATTTTTTTTTCTTTTCTTGGGAACAGTAAGACATTAGGTTGGTTTCCTTTCAACCAGATGTTTGAAATAGGATAAGTAAACAATCCAAAACATGAAATTTTCGGGGATTTCAGGACCTAGCGCCCCTTTAAACATAAGTCTAGTTTGCGGTTGTTTGCTGGTTTTTCTTCTTCAGGCTCCTGAAGTTTTCATCGTGCATGGCACTTTGGCACTAAAATCAATCAGACTGTCTTTAAACATGTACATGTACTTGACACACACTTAGACCAGCACCTGCAGATGTGCACCGAACATTGACGTCATCACGAGTCACGTGACGTCACAATAGAGGTGCATATTTTGAAGGCCTATATACATGTAACTTCAGAACTACAGTTCCGATCGGGTTGAAAGTTGATATGTACCTAGACCGGGATGTGTTATAGATGAAAATTGAAGTGATGTTATAATAACGTCATCACATGATATATTTCGTCATTTTAAAAGTGCATATTAGCCTCATTCAAATCTGAACTACGTAAAACGTTCATTCAGTAATAATATTTCTGCAAATAATTATTTGTGTATTTGCCGCTGTCTTCTCTGATTATACAAATCTAGATATGTGCTGATCTACGGAGTGAACAAACTTGGTTGCCATAATAATACGAAGATAATAAGAAGCCGGATGGGAATTTCCCCGTGTTTTCTCCCAAAAGGGTTTTCGCGGGGTTTTGGCCCCTCCCGTAATCAGCGAGTATAGTTACAGCAATATTGTTTTTGTTTTTGTTTTTGTTTTTCTTCTTTTTTTGATGTTACAAGATAGATCCAAATTGTTCGTGTTCACTGAATCAACTTTATAGTAAAGCATTCATACTGTACATGTAGTTATAATAGTTTTAAAATATATTGTATTTATAATATTTGCTTAACACCTATGCATTATTCAAATAATGTTTTATCTCACTGTATTGAATTTTATTGTATTTGTAATGTATTGTATAATTATACATGTTTGTAGTCATTGTTTATTGTATGCAGGGCCCCAATGGAAACCAGTTTTAAACTGTTTGGGCATACCCTGGGTAAAGAAATGGAATAAATAAATAAATAAATAAATATTTGGAAGGCCTATATCTATAGAACTGCAGGTTCGATTGGGTTGAAAGTTAGTTTGTACTTAGACCCAGGAGATGTTAAAGATGAAAAATGAAGTCATGTCATGTGACGTCAAATTAAAGATACTTACATGTATGTTGAAGGCCTCTACAGAGCTACAGGCCTGATTGGGTTGAAACTTGGTTTGTACCTAGACCGGGATGTGTTATAAATAAAAATTGATGATGACATCATCACATGTCATGTGACGTCACATTAAACGTGCATATTTTTCTAAGGCCTATCAGCAACACTGTTTGTCTGATTTGGTTGTAATTTTGGTTCGTACATGTACCTACGCTGGATCCATGTGTTAAAGTAAAAAAATTAAGTTTGGTGACGTCATGGAATGTTACGAGACGTCACATTAAATGTGCATTTAATGCCTTTTGTCACTGACGCAACATTGATGTTGCATTTTAACAGTGTGCTATCTTCAGAAATATACAGCTGATCACTCTGCAACATGTATGTCTTTTTAAATGAAATAAATGTCGAAACAGCCATGTGTTTGTCCACAAACATAAATCTAGTTTGTTTTGTTATGCTGTTTTGGCAAATTTGTTGCTTTGAGACTTTGAATAGTTAAATATGACAACATTATCTCTATGCAGGGGCGTAGCACGGTCATTTTTATTGGGGGGGGTAAACATTTCTTGAAAAGGGCTCTTCCACATCCTCACTGAAATGTAGACACTTTTTTTTCTCCAGACACTTGGCCTCCAGAAAATGGGGGGGGGGGGGGCTATATCATCCGTCTATGGGGGTGCTGTTCTGAACCGACGATTATGCTTACTAATGGACAATATATCGTGCTTTCAGGGCAATACATGCACAAAATAAAAAGGCACCCTAAGGCCAAAAAAAAAAAGTCTCCGGTTTCTGGTATGCGCACGCGTCGCCGTAGCCATGCGCGTTGGCAAAATGAAAAAGTTTTTTTTTCAATGAAAGATGATGTCTCAAAACCGCCAAACTCACTGGTTTGACTGGAATCCTGCTGCTGCACAATTTTAACGTGTTTTTAGATGGGGTTATGATCGAGAATAAGCTTTATGTGGCCTCTCTGGACTCCCATATATTTGCACTAAGTTTAGTCGGGCACCATTTGCAGTCATCAGCCGACATTTGACGCAAAAAAGTCAGGTAAAAAAAAAAAGCCGCGTCGCCGCACCACTTTTTGGGCAAGCTCCATACCAGAAACCGGAGACTTTTTTTTTGGCCTAAACGGCCGATGGCACAAAAAAGTTCATGACTACAGGGCACTTGTTCAGCAAAAACAGGCACTTGTTAGCAAAAGAAGGGCACTCTTTACAAATATTGGGAGGTGGGGGGTTAAGTGCTGGTGAAAAAGGGGCATTTACAAAATATTGGGGGGTCAAACCCCCCCCCCCAAAAAAAATGCCAAACAGTATCAGTGTGGACAAACAAAAACAAGATCCATTGTTAGCATTAAACAAGAATTGAATGACATGGGTTACACTCTGTGGGAATTAGTAGTATATGTACAGTACTGTTGTGACGGGATTTGAGTACCTTTTTGTTTAAATGGTGACGCGCCAAACAATAAATACCGGCTCGATGAAAAGTACTACTTCTGAAATCTGAATGTTGGGATCTCTGCATTGTACAAATGTATGTTTGCAGCATAGCATCAACACTAGCATGTGCCTAGCTATAGGGAGCCAACAAATGTGTCAGAGTGTTACCAATTTTAGTCGGGACTGGATGAACCACAGATGGGACCGTCCCAACTATAGATGGGACCTACACGTACCTTTATTTGATTGGTGTGGTACCAACTATGGATGGACATGTGCCACATACATTGTATGTATGGAACCAACAGTTATGTTGGAGCTGGCTTTTACAAACTTTACTTGAGACAAGGTGAACCACATATTGGATCAGCCCAACTACAGATTTGACCAATCTTTATCAGACTGATAGAGGGAACCTACAGACAGAAAACAGAATGTTCTTATCTTTTGGCCCAACTATCAGCCTATATGTAGTTGAGATATGACAGGTACAATAGGTCGCTGTCTATCAAACAAGGAAGGACTGGGTTTGGAGGTGAAGAGAAGCTTTTTATTTTCTCTTGCCTAAGGCCAAAAAAAAAAAGTCTCCGGTTTCTGGTATGGAGCTTGCCCAAAAAGTGGTGCGGCGACGCGGCTTTTTTTTTTTTTTTACCTGATTTTTTTGCTTCAAATGTCGGCTGATGACTGCAAATGGTGCCCGACTAAACTTAGTGCAAATATATGGGAGTCCAGAGAGGCCACATAAAGCTTACTCTGGACCATAACCCAATCTAAAAAAAAATTAAAATTGTGCAGCAGCAGGATTCCAGTCAAACCAGTGAGTTTAGCGGTTTTGAGACATCTTTCATTTAAAAAAAATCTTTTTCATTTTGCCGACGCGCATGGCTATGGCGACGCGCGCGCATACCAGAAACCAGAGACTTTTGGGGGGGGGGGGGCCTAATGATGACTAGCTAAAGGGAAAAGGTGACTGAGATGACTCTTGCATACCACTTCATGTGTAAGTAATCAATCAGCGGAACACTGTAAAAATAATATCCGCAATAAGAAGAGAGAATACCTTCACATCAGCCATAGAAGGAAAAAAGAAGCAATTCATCTACGCTGTTGAAAACACTAAGAAAAATTGTTGCAAATTCTATCACTTCCCCAAATGGGGAAAACATTGACAATCCCACCTACCTTGAATTTAAAGCGAATGTACATCATTGGCTTTTGCTGTAATTTTCAGAAATGAACTATTTGAGGGGTTAATACAATAGATCAAATATTGTTGCACTGGCATGTTCAAAGTTTTGTGTTCGAAAGTGCTGGAAAAATTAAGAAAAACATAAATGTTCAAGTAGATTGGTTCCCTGACTCAATAAAAGATGAACTGGATCAATTTGTAGATGATGGAAATTTGTAAGGTAAGGGAACCAGTCTAGCTGGCTTGGAAATTTATACAAAAAAACACTCTTCTTGAAAATGACTTTACACCAGGTGCCACCATTTTACAGGATGCTTTAGACTGTCATTTGCCAACATCCTAGTCTGGTATTTTGTAAAATAAAATTTATAGTTTTGTTTTTTGATGTTTGCAAATGTTGTATGTTCCCTTTAAGAGATGCTGCCTGTCAAAAACTAACTTTGAAAAAACAACTTTTTCAAAATGTGAGGTGAATCCCATTCAGTGACTGTTTTGTGACAATTATCGTACAAAGCTTGTCCATATTGTATAAAATGTTCTTTTACCAAATTGGAGTCCCATCTAAAAAAATGTTAAAGCTCTTCCATTTATAGGCACAGGGAAAGTGCAAAAGAAAATAATGCTACAACATTTCTCAAAATCTTGTACACTTTTCTTTGGAAAGTTCTGACCCTGTGTAACATGTTGAAAGTCAACAAATGATATTCCTTTTTTTTTGTACAGGCTTTGTTTCCATTGGTCAACTGTCCTCTCATTGATTACACACTTGAGTTTCTGGTCAGTGCTGGGGTTCAGGAGATATTTGTCTTTTGCTGTTCTCATGCTGACCAACTTAAAAAACATATCTGGTAAGTACTTATTTGTACATTTTTATGGCTTTTCCCCAGGTTTATCAAAAATTTGAAAACTTTACAGGTGTCATGTTACTCGATCCTCTTCAAACTGTTACTTCATGTGACTAAGTGTTTTGATCACCTCTCATCAGGGCCTCTAAATGGAACCATAAGAACTCCCACTGCATCATCACGCCGATTGTCTCTGAAGACTGTCACTCTGTTGGGGATGCACTCAGGGAGATTGAACGAAAGTCCATGATCAGATCTCACTTTGTTCTTGTCAGTGGCGACCTGGTGTCCAACATGCTGCTAAAAGACCTGATAGAACAGCACAAGTGAGTAGAACCAGCACATGCACCTGTATGTGTTTAAGGGTTTAGTAAAAGGCAAGGAACTCACTCGTTTTGCTCTGAGCTGCTTATGAATTAAGATCACTGGTTTGTTTTTTTCCCCCACTAATTTGGTAGTTTAACATCATTTCAATAGTAATGCACTTACTATTAATGCCAGCTCCCAGGGCAATGTGCTGAGAAACTTCCAGACTTCTCCAAACTTTATTGTGCATCACACATGTACTGTCTGTGGAACTTTTGAGTTTCACCTCGAAAAGTTATTTTGTTTTGAAAAGCACCCTAGCATGAAAGCTTTTGTCCCATAGGGTTGCAAGTACACACAGTCAAACAGTTTTTTCATTAAGAGAAAAAAGTTGAATTAGTTAAAGAGAAGAGGACATTACATCTTTAAACCTGTGGTACATTTTTTGTATAGTCAACTCCATTAATACAAATCAGCTGGACCTCTCCAAATTGTTTGATAGATGGGTCTTTCCATGAAGTTAGTGAACGTTTTGTGGCTTTCAGACATATTTGTGATGCAATCAAGCTAAATGAGGCGTTTGTCGGGAATTTTTATTTGGAGATACAGGACAAAATAAGACCACTTCATCGCATCACTTCATCACAGTTCTTGGTGTTCCAACTTCCATAATTTTTAACTGAAGGTGGTATCAGCATGCGGTTTTCACAGCAGTAATGCTGAGATTGTGCTCTTTTCAAATTTGTAATAAAAATCTTTTTGACCAGGGTCGACAAACGACTCATGTAGCTTGATCGCATCACATTTGTAGGTTAAGTATTTAAGTAGTCCACAGGCTTGCAACTTTTCCTCGGATCCGCTGATTTCCTTGTTTGTTACTTTTCACGAATGCCATTACAAATTGAAAAACACTGTACAAAGTCTTGTGTGGTTTGGAATTTCCTTGTTTTTTCCCCTAAATTCTCAGTTGCATGCCTGAGTCCATGAGCCAAGAACAGAAATTTGAAATATTGGTATCATCTGAAGGGACTAATTCCTATCATGATTTTTGGGTTTTGTTGGCAGAAAGAAATAGGTAATAAAAAATGGGAATCATAACTTTGAAGCAAAGGCAAAAGGGAGGCCAAGATTGATTAACAACATTTCTCCCAAATCAATCAACGGGTCAATGTGTTACAGCTTTTGGACGCGATGTTCAATCCAGTCTGTATAATGGAGATCAATGGTGACTGCACAGTCATTCGGCAGTTTTATAGTCAACATTTTGCAGCTGATATTTCACTTCAGGGACAAATTACAACTTTGTAACCTCTGTTCTTAAAATGTACTACACTGTAGGTTATAACTTAAACGTTTAATTTGTGATGGAAAATGTTGCTTTGGCTGAACAAAGAAATTGACTGGGGCGGGGTTTCAGAACCTTCGATCTCTGGATAACCGTTCCGTTGCTCTACCAACTGAGCTATCCAGCCCTATGTTGCGGTTTCCCATTTAGTCAATGTCTTTGTTCAATAGGTGCTGGTCAGAAGCCATAAACCCATGCCATGTAGCCAGGGATCATGCCCAAAGTCACGATGCAAGCAACAGGGAGATAAACTAGGTGCATTATAATTATTTTAATAAACATAATTAATAAAAGGAAAACATGGTTCTTTCAGAGCACGATTCAAGGTGGACAAGTCAGCAGTGATAACGTTAGTCTTCAAGCAAGCTTATCCTGGCCATAGGACCCGCAGTGAAGAAGATGACATTGTAGTTGCCACAGATACCACACATCGTATACTGAGCTATCAGAAAATGCATGGAAAGATGAAAGCAAGGTTCCCCCTGGTAAGAAAAAGCAATTATTGTGGTGTTGGTTAGTTTTGTTTTTGGGAATGGTTGGGGTGCATGGTTGATTCTTGTTTCATACTTTCGAGGGGCAACTTTTTAACATGAGTATTATTAAACAGTGCAAAATGCCAACCAACTGTTGATAAATTCAGCTTTTAAAATGTTCAATTTGATAAACTTCAATCTTCATAAAGACACAATGCAGTTGAAAGTATGTGATGAGTGATGAGGGAGCAAAGCCCAAATTGGGAATGAACTTGCTGATGCTAGTTTGGGTCATGATGGTGGCAGACCGATTTATTGGTCATTGAACCAGCAGTGAGGTCATGCAGATTTCTGAAAGACTAGTCGTCAACTTATTTTTGGATTAATATTTCTTATAGTTTGATGTACATGTAACCTGTAAAGTGGACTCTCTTAACTTTGCACATTGTGTTGGGTGATTGGGCAACAACGCATCAAATTCAAACTTTGTATGAACATCAACCACGATGGAGGTGTGCATACAAATTTGACGTCATGATATCCTCATAATGTGTACAAGTTCAAAAAGGTACCGTTTTGTTTCAGTCACCACTCATGAACAAAACAAAGAATGAAGTTCATACTTTGTAATCTGATAGACCATGCCCAGATGAACTTTTATTGTGGTGTGAATTCAAAATACCGAAAGAAACATGGATATTAATACAAATGGAAGTTCTGCCAAACGGTTCAAGGGATGAAGATGTAACCTTGTACAAACATGAACCCTTGTCCAAACATGTGACAAAATTTGTGATGTCTTGACATCATTTTTCTTTTCAAATTGCAATGATTTAACATCAAAATTTAACAAAATACAGGGTGTATCCAAAAAAGGAAACCCAGATGTAAATGTAAGCCATATAAAATGTAATAAATATTTTCAAATAAGTTAAAGATCATGTGAAACACCAATGTGTCCTCTTGATTGTGAGTCTGTGGCCAAGGATGACTGAGCATTCGTTGTTAATCTGTCAAGGGTCAAACCTGCACTGGGCCAAGTTTATGCGAAAGGGTAACTGGTATTCTGGGCATGTGGAACGGCTTAATTTAAAGAAAGGAGACATCCTTTTCTTTAAAACAATTTATTCAATTTAACACAGTCATTTAACCACTCTCATTGTTGAGGTTAACCTCTCATGGCCCAATGCCTTCAACGTGGCCACCACCTCTTTCCACACAATACAAAGCTCTGCACAACGACACATATCGTTTGCAACCTTTGCACGACAAACCAGCCAGCAATCTTAGCCAAGTAAAACTTGGCCCAGTAAGGTTTTGACCCTTGACAGAAAAGCAACGAATGCTCGGTCATCCGTGGCCACAGACACACAATCAAGGTTTCAAGGTTTCAGTGGAAAGAAGACACATTGGTGTTTCACATGATCTTTAACTTGTTTGAAAACATTTATTAGATTTTTATGCCCTGTGGCATAAAAAAAAAAATTTTCATTTTGCCGACGCGCATGGCTACGGCGACGCGCGCGCATATCAGAAACCAGAGCTTTTTTTTTGGCCTTATGCACATTTTGAACTGAATTGAATTTCATACTCTTTCTGTTTTCTTTGCATTTAACATATTTACAACTGAGTTAGACAATGTCAAATAAAACGTTATGTGCCCCATCACCCTGCGTTTGTTACAAAGACAAATGCAAACCTCTAGTTTGATTTTGATTTTTGATTGTATTTTGACGATTTACTGCACACTTCCAGTGCTTTCTTTGAGCAGTTTCAGGCGAGCATTTCCCCCCTGCCAAAAATCTTAACATTTTGCTGCTCCACAAAAAAAAATGGGCAGTTGTGTCTTTTTACATCAACCCACTGAACTTTTCAGTTAACAAGGAAAAGTACATGATTACTGTAAAACATGAATTTTGAAGCAATGTTTTGTCTACCGAGCCATACTGGCCTTTTCTGTTTTCATATTTAGACAGACTGGCAACATTTGATTTTTGACGGACTCTTTGCAAAATCAAAAGTATAAAATGGCGGGCAGATTGGTATAAGAAATTACATTTCAAGTACGTACCAATTTTATATTTGTTGTCTTAAATCAGTACCAGTAGCTGTGAGCACATCCATACAGTTCTCACTGTGGGGAATTCCCTTGTAGTTTTGTAAGCACATGTTGCTGTCTGATCTATTGCGGGTAGTCATTTACTGATTTTTTGCCAACTTCAGATGCTTTAGGACTTGTTCCTCGAGTGACCATCGACCCCTCGCACTGTGTCGCTCCCCAACAGCCCTAATACCCTGGAATAATGCATCTGTTTGGATAGTGCTGTCTGGAACTGGGTCAAGAATATCATGACCATTCCATTGCCCAATGCAGTGTATTTATGTTCCCGTCGGGAAAGCTTGGGATAGGATCATTTGGGACAGGATCACATGTGATTGTGATTCATATGAATTCTGTCTGCAAAGGGCCATCTGTTTTCCTGCTGAAGTCTCGGATAAGACGGTGGTGCTGAAAATACTGCCTGAATGGTTTATAACAGACAGCCAATCAGTGTTGCCAGATCTTGCACTGTCAAATCTTGTAGATGCAGCTTTAAATAAAATTTTCTTTCAAAGTATTGCCCTTTTGATAGAATGTCTGGTTCTTTATTCCATATACATAAAACACTGTATCGAATAAGTACAGTCAAACCTGCCTCGGCGACCCACTGTATACAACAACCACCTGTCTGTAACGACCATTTAAAAATCCCCCACTGAAAAATCCTGTTACTTGTGTAGAATGACCACCTGCTTAACGCGACCAGTGACCGCACATTTTGCTTCCGTAGGAATGCTGAAGTCTGTACAGAACGACCGCAGGCCATGAAACGCGACCGCTGGCCATGAACATGATGAAAAGCAACTGCAAGCCATGAAAAGCGACCGCCGAACGCCCGATTGCTTCTGGTACAATGGTTGATTCCTTACTCAAAAGCCATAAAATTAAGCGGATTAGTGAATCAACCACAGGATTCCCAGGACATTTTCAAGCTTAATCTGGGTCTGCGGTCACATCAACAATGCACCTATTGTCAGTGCAGCAGCTTGGATGGCACAGCTTTCTTGCGCTAGCTCCATTCAACACAATGCGCTAGGCATGTGCATGACCTGTCAGTCTCGTCTACTCACATACTTTTTGTTATCATTAAAATAAATTCAATTAAAATTTGTATACATGTTTTCTGAAGAACCAAAAAACACACAACATACTCAAGTATTTTTGTTTGTCAATTTTATTGTTAAATCGTGAAATAAAGTTTTAGTTTGTTTGTGCTCTAGATCGACCTTTCAGCTTTTCAGCAAGTTTGCTAGCATGTGCAATTTTGCACATTGTGTCTACACAACACCGCATGCGTAGATTACTTCTGCTCTGTCATTTATAAAGCGAGTGTGTTCCAATATCGCTTTTGAAAAAGAGAGAATAGGGCTCCAAATTCTTCAAGCCCGAATCCTGAAAGGAATTGTCGAAGTTACCTTTCACTTCAAATGAAATTGGAGGTCATAAGCTGTTTGTGTGATCGTCAAGAATCTCGGAACTGAAGAGAAACAAGGAAGAGTTATGTATTAAACAAATAACTAAAAGAAGGAAGAACATGATGTTTGAAAGGCAGGTTTAAACTGTAATGACCCCCGCGTTACGTTAGGAAGCCAAGGGATATTACCAACCTGTACAGAGAGACCACCTGTCTATAAAGACTGTTTTTACCGTTTCCCTTGAGCGGTCTTTCTTTACAGGTTTGACTGTACATACATGTGTACATCTTACATTAATACAAGTGAGAGAGTTGTTGTTCTGATTACAGACGGGTTGGACGTGTCCGATTAGAAGCAATAAATACTTTAATCAATGTAGTTCCAATGGAGTGAAAGCCTCCCGTTACTTTGCACCTCCCTAAGAACGAACTCTCCACAATATTCATAAGGACCAAAATCTTCTCATAGTCTTTGCATGGCATTGAAATTTGGGTTTCCTACATCTGTTGTGCACAGTAGAAAAGGCTGTTGTCACAACTTACATACCGCACATGTGAATTCAGTGTATGTATGGGGGCCCTTTATATGGAATAAGGGTGATCCTATGCAATAGGAATGTCCCATTTGCCCCCAAAATGAAACTGCAGATATCAACGGTCGAGAAATTGGTTCCGATGCACAGTCCTAACCCTGATTGAATGTCTGTGCTACAACTAAAAAAAAACCTTTTTTTTTTAAATTGGCTCCGTATCTTCAACAGTCATTTAGATTTGAATTAATTCTGTTGTTGAAATTTGACTTTGCACTGTTTCGTTGTTTGAGCTGTCTTGCTTATCTGAGATCCAGACACATTGTTAAGAATTCGTAAATTGTTTAAAGTTTAAGCAAATTAACTTCATGCAAATTAGGCCAATGGCCCGCGATCGTCCTGCGTAGTCCCCTTTTGTTGCAACAAACTTTTGGTCCCGCACTGGGACTTCGCGCTTAAGTCCAACCCACATTCCTTACCAGTGGAATGGACATTGGAATTCCCTGCCGGACTTAAAAGCTCTGGCATTCTTTTTCATTTCCTCAATTAGAATCTGTTTGAAGATAACAGGGAAATGATCCTTCGGTATGACCTGATGCATAGTCACATTAGCATCTGCTCCCCTAGGGTCACTGAGCTCTTTGTGGACAACTTTGACTACCAGAACATGTCAGATCTTATCCGTGGAATACTAATTAATGAGGAGGTAAGATTACATGAATTATTGTGAAGAAATTGGTATACAGAATATCTTTTGGTGTATTTGTGATGTAGTTGTATTTGTACCTGAGTGTTTAGTGTAATTGTTTAATACAATTTTTAAATAATGCTTATAATTGAGTATATCAGGAAGACATGTTCATGTATTGTTTTAATGTGTGACTAATAAATTATTCTATTTTATACAACACCTGAATAAATCCCCATCATCTGATAGGTGGGTCGTTGATCACATGTCATTGAATTATTTATCCCAATGCATGGCGCGTGTGTGGCACGCAGCACACAGTGCAATGGAAGTTTAATATTGCACGCTGAATAGAACTTCCATTGCAAGGTGTCACTGCTGCTGGTGGTGGCGCTGTTTTAAATCAAGATCAATTGAATATGATTGTTCTCAGCCTGTTGAACTGTTTGCATAAATTTAATATGATGAACTTGTCGGACTTTTAAACAGTTTTTAACCTGAAGAAATTGGCTTTTAAAAGTCAACCGAGCAGTTGACAAGGATTTTTTTCAGGTGTTATATAAAACAAATAATGAATGTTTCTCGTTCCTGCAATGGAAAGACTAATTTCATGAGGTGACGGATGATATGTTCCGTTCCAATGGAACATTTCATCTGTCACCTCATGAAATTAGTCTTACCATTGCACTCACAAACATTCATTATTTGTGTACTATTTCTTTCACAGTTTATCAGTGTAGCGTTGGTTTTGGACTATTTGGAAGACTTCAACATATTGTAGTATCAACTATTGATTTGTTGTATTTTTTCCATAGATTGAAGGCAACAAGCTTTACATGCATGTTATTGAGGAAGAGTATGCTGCTAGGGTAACTGATCTACCAATGTACGATTCCATTAGGTAAGCTACATACCTACATGCTGTTTTATAAAAACTTTTTTCTCTTGGGAAAAGTGTTATTTTACAATTAAGGGGTTCTTTCTAAACTAAATCTTTTTTGAAATTGGCCATTTCATGGCAAAAATCCACAGAGTGGCTCTGGTACAGCAAAAGGTATTACTATACCTCATACAGAGATGCCACTTTTCTGATTTTAACCGGAATTCCGGTGTTTTTTTTAAATCTCACAAAACTCTGGTTTTTCCTGCTGTCAAAATATACCAGGAAAAAAAGAAGAAAAACTGTGGAAATGCATTGATTTTTACCTCGTTGGCGCTCTCGATTTAGTACATCTCAGGCACACGTACGGCACAACGTTGTTCATTGAAGTAGTCTTAAAAACAGGCTTTGTTGTTGCCGAGCCTGCATGCGGCCAACGTACTTGCACGCAGTATACAACGGCGCCTCACGCGTGCTTCACCGCGTGCTGGCGTGTTGTGCGCTAAGCACACAAAGCATTCAGCCTGGAAATCAAGTCTATCATTTCAGTTATCGGTGGTTTCCGATACCAGTGATATATGTGAATACAAAAAATGCCGGGTACTAGCCATGTTTTCGTCAAACGCATCGCGTAGTGCAAAGGTTATGTACACTGTACCGACAGCAGTGTTGTGGAATCATGCATGTTTCAAGTCGAATATTACGTTGGAAATTCGGGTTGGCGGAATAATTAGGAATTTGGGAAAAAGTCAAAGTGATTGAACGTACCGACAGCTTAAAGGCCATAGAAGCAAAATTAAGAAATTTAACGGAACTGGGCTTGGCTACAAGATAAAGATGACAACAGGTACTTTGTGTCGGACTCGGAGTGGATTTTTCACACACACAAATGTTCCGGTTTTTTTAAGCAGCCATTCCGTTTTTTTCAAGCAGACCCAGTTCCGTTTTTTTCAAGTAGACTCTGTGGCATCTCTGCTCAAACATATTCATGATCGAGAGCTAAACTCTCACTGGTCAATTCACCATCACGTGCCAGATGTTGTTTTGCTGTACCAAGTGCGCGCGCGAGGATTCATGCACAGGGTAAATACGCATGCGTAGTAGACTGTCGCACGGGCTACCAGTGCGACAGTCTACTCGTGCGACAGTCTACTACGCGTGCGCTTTACAAAGCAATTGTGGAACTGTCGCATGGATGTAGAACGCACGTGCGAACAAGCGAGCTACATGCGAAGAGATGGTTGCATGATACGGTACCCATAAATGTTAATTTTCCCGAGCTCAGTGATGCCGAACTGGAGAAAATGTATGGACAATAAAGATGCCTCCTGTACAAAAGAAAGTTGTCCTCAAACATGGAAAAATCAGTGTGTCGCACGGTAATACAGTGTGATGCATGCATGTACAGCTGCACACAATGATATGCAATGGTACCACGTTACCACCGTCAGCTAGCACATGGCGGGTCGGGAACATAGCCTCGTGAACGATCCAGTGGATGAAATCCATTATGTTGTGCAATTTTCTGAGTTTTCAGATTTAGTTGTACAAAATGCAATGCTTTAAATCATGATGATTATCTCGAGGACAGCGAAGAGAGCATTAGCGAAACATTTCACTAGCATTTGTTGGAAGAAAAAGACTTTTTCCTCGACTTTCTTAAGTAAGAATTGAACTTTTTTATTGATGACTCCAAAAAATGACTCCATTACTCTAACTGTAATTCAGGTGTTTTATGCTATGAAAACACTGACCATTTTTTTTCATCGTAAAATTGTGTTTGAATCGAAAATAAAGCAGGAGTCGGTGTCTGGAAATTGGGCATGAAGTGTTTTGTACATGCATGTACATGTATAATTGTATATGTAACTGCAGCGCGGCCCAGATTTCGGACACGTATTTTCATTCGGTCTATTTTCCGATTTTTTTGCCATATGCCAGTTTCATCTCTGAGTTACTGTATTGCAAACCAACTGAACTACTGAAATTGAGTGATAAAATTCTTTTGGTGAGCTGGACAAGTTTCTCTGAAGATCTTGTTTAAGGTGCATACTGCAACGGAAAAAAATCGGCAACTGAATATGTATGAGGTATAGTAAAACAAATATAACATGGTTTATTTCGGGTGGACAGTCGATATTACCCCCGGTAGCTCCCCTCGGTATTAGAAGTTTACAAACTACATGTAGTTTTGCAATACCTCGGGGAGTGAATATCGACTGTCCACCTTCAAACCATGTTATATTTGTGTACCGTGCCATGTAAATATTTGCAGGTGCCTATGAACACCTGCAATGCCTTGTTTTGCGGTGAACATTAATTCAATTCTCACCTGACAGACCTGAACACGAAACAGTAGGTGCACAAACCAACTACTTCCATCACATCTACCATTGTACATATAAGATTTTATTTTAAGTTTTGTACCGGTACCGGGTAGCAATATGGATTTTTTTACTGAAAAGCTATTTAAATGGAATTTCTTGTTAAAGTAAAACACTTTGATCATAGTAAATCATGTACTGAGTCCATACACACACACAGAGATTCTTAGAGATAAAGTCACTGATGTAGAAAATGTATAGAATTGTTATATAACAGCCTCGTGTCTGGACAATAAAAAGGCATTTACAATGGCTATCTCACATACAATGTAGAACCTGCACGAGCTCGCAATGCATGCACAACTGCCATCAGTTTCATGTCAGGCAGGAAAACCTGAAGTTATCCAGGGTTACACCGCACTGATTTCATTATTTCTTGCAAAGTAAATTCCAACCATTTATTGTTGTGACTTACTGGTACGATATAACAAAACAATTGTTGACTGCTGTGATATACATGTAGGATATGCCATTTTTAACCCCCTCGGGACGCAAATGCGCCCCTCGGGTGTAAAAAAACGTCATATTATCTAGACAACAAAACAAGGTTCACTGTACCAGGCTGAAGGAAGACTGGAGTTAGACCGTGTTCTCCTAAAGCAGTTGGTCCATTGCAATCACAGCCAAGCCAGTAGGCTACAGACTCTGTCAACAAATACCGACCTCAACTTTAGAAAGAGAAAGTTTGGGGAGACCTCTGGGAGGGACTTCAGAGCGTATTGTTGATGGTGCCTGAAGCTTATAGGAAGATCTTGATGCTTGTAAGAAGAACGTGTGGATTTGTACACATTAAGAATAAAAATAGTCACGTGTACCTCAAGCTATACAAGTGTGAACCAGTGTGGGCATGCGGTGTGTTCCTCTTACTTAAAAGCATTCATCAGTAGTGACGAAGCTTCATCTAACATTCATGAATGGACTCCATAGAGGACAATACAAAGAAGATGAAGTAAATTGAGTCGTGGGAATCTATGCAATCACAACTGCAAAATTCCCAGCACACACAATGCATGCTCAGGCCCGAGTGTCGAGACTCCCATGACTTAATTGGACTGGTCTTGTTGATAACACCCTCTATCATCCCAGTGGCTGGGCTGCACCTGCCAGGGAAAAAACTAGCTGCATTTATAGGGAGACTTCAAAATATAGCAGTAGCTGAAGACTCAAACATTCATTGAGCTTTAGTTTTATTAGATCTCTCATGAATACTTGGTGCAGTGATTTCCAAGTTTCAATAATTTACAATTTTTTACATTTTCATTCCTCAAGCAAAGATGTAATTAGGAGGTGGGCGCATCCCTTGGTACCTGAAAATTTAACAGCTGAGGGTGAAGGCTACAAACTGGGCAGGCATAATGTATATCTGGCAAGTGATGTCACTTTAGAAAGGTGAGTTTTCTAAATGTTGCTGTTATCTCATTGTTGGCTTTAAATAGACCTAAGACCTAATGATGTTACATGTGTGCTTTTGTATGAAAGCTACACGTCCCCCCTTGCTCATGTAGCCATGATTGTCTAATCAATCCTTCATACACTTCATAGTACCATCTCTTTGATCCACACTTTGGTCATGTCTGACTTACTTGGCTACAGCCAGCAGCAATGCCTATGTCTATGGGAAATAGCTTCAGCCGCTTCAGAATCGGGTTCCAATCATGCCAATTGCGTCAACGCAGCTTGTGAAATATTGTCCAATTACATGATATACAAATGGACACGGAACGTGCAAAATCTGAGACAAACAAAAAACTCAGTGTACAAAAACCCCATATGGTTGTGTAAGGGGCGTGGCTAACTCAAAAATGGTGATAGGTCAATTGCATGCAGTAGCCAAGTAATGCAGACACAGCCTCGGTTGCTCTAACCCTGCCAAACAGTGACCAATGTGATCTTAAACGTTGACTGCTTGAGCAGTGGAATCAGCACCTTAGTTGTATCAATTGACTGTGTTTTATTCAGTAAGCTGGCTTCACTCCTTAACAGACACTTTGCATTGTAGCCACAACTGTTACTGAATCAAAATAACAAAAAATTTCAAATGTCTTAATTCTCAAGTCAAGTCACAAGCTACTCAAAATAAATGAACTATAACAAGAGGAATTGCTTTGAGAGGGATTTTGAAGGATGTAGGAAAATTAGAGTTAATATTGATCTTAGGTTTTTTTTGCTTTTGTTTTGTTGCTTTTCAGAGGTAGCATTCTTCAGGAAGATGTCATTATTGGTCAGGGTTCTACCATTGGCACTAACACCATTATATCACAATCTGTCATTGGTAAAAACTGTGTGATAGGTAAGGTCCTTTGTTTGGTGAACAGAAAATTCACTTGGTTTTCTTTTGACAGGCTACTCTTTTCATCATCAGTGTAGTCTGAAAGATCATGTGCAAAGTGTATGGATCCACCGGAGCAGAAACCAGCTTCAAGTAACGAACATATAGTGCATACATTCACTACATGTGTTTTTTTTAATTGTTACTTTTCTTGTAAGCCAAAATTCACCAAATAAAGCACTTGTGAACCAACTCGAATCATCTACCGATGCTCCAGATTTTCTCCGCTTTTTCCCCCGCGCGTAAGCATTGATTTTATTTTCTGTTTATTTATTTTATTTTCCACCGCCGCCGAACGCGCACGAAAAACGCAGTTGATCCGCTCTACATGTAGCTCTGTGGTGCAAGCGAGTATGCAAGCGAATACAATCACCCATGTACGTGTACTGTACATGTACATATGCTGTGTACGATGTGCATGCATTTTTCAGCTCGAAGTCGTGTGTGTACAGTGTATTGTACACTATGTAAACAGCATCCGGGGAACCAACAGTCATTGCGCTGTGATTGGCTGCAGATAAATATCAATTATCACACATGCGCCATGAAGCGCGTTGGGACTCTGCAGCCGTTCCTGTGTCTGTGTAAGTAGTGACACACAATGATCTCCACAATAACTCGCTGTAAACCACGAAGAGATCACTTTGCACACGTCTCATTGCAAATATAAAGCCTTGAAATAAGACAAGTAAATTGTCGCCATGCCGATAGAGGGCTTCATGTTGGGGGCAAAGTTCATGCATGTATGCATTCCTCGCTGCTGCTACGGTAGTGTGTCGTTTCTTGGTGGACAGAGTCTTTTCTAACCGTCTTAAAGCAATAGCAGGAGTACGTACGGCAGATCTTACGTGCTGTCAACAGACTTTCTTTCTCTCAGTGCACGCACGATACACAGAATACATTTTGATGTTCGTGTCCGATAGTCACAACGTGCTTGCACCTGGTGTTCCGTTATGTCAAACATTTTTGAATAGTAAAGTTTGATACTACATGTCGTTCTGAAACGAATTCAAAAATCAGAAAAATCAACAATTGAAGCAGGCGTCCCAAACCGAACCAGGTAAATCAGCCAGCAAATGCAAGAAATTGATTTCTTTTTGGGCAGGCCAAGTTTAAAATGAAACTCAGTTCGATCGCTGTGTATTTTTATTTAACAACAGTGGCGTAGCCAGTGGGGGGGCGTCCGCCCCCCCATGAAACCTTGTGGCCCCCCCAGTCGCCCTCCCCCCCCCCCCCCCCCCCACTGAGATTTTGAGTTTCTAAAAAAATTATCATTGATTTAATCTAAATAGTCGCGAATGATCCACATGATGACCACTGAGAAACGACCCTTCGACCAGCGACCGCGGACCAGTAAGCTGACAACCGGCGTGACATAGCGCATAATGATAATCTAAAATGCGTATTAACACCCACTGCACTGCTCGCTCAAACCACGGAACACGTATTATAAACAGTTGGTCCGTGGGTCACACAGTTTCAGTCAGCGATATCACGTGAATCGGCCACGCACAAAATTTTTTCCTCCATTCATATAAGCTAAATAATAATAATAGACCAATTAAAATTCCTTGAAATCAGTGGCGTAGCCACGGCGGGGCGTGGTGGGGGGGGCGACAGCGACATGAAACCTTGTTGTCCCCCCCCAGTCGCCCCCCCCCCCCCCCCCCAGTCGCCCCCACTGAGATGTTGAGTTTCTAAAAAAATTATCATTGATCTACATGACGCCATGGGCGTCAATCCTGGCGGGACAGGGGGACTGGTCTCCCCCCCCCCCCCCCCCCCCCACTTTTTGAAGGGTGGGGGACACGATATCAAATGTCCCCCCCCCCCAGATTTTTGAACTCGTGTCTCATTTACAGGGCCCTATTATGTACTACAATGTATCTTTTGCTTAGAAAATATTGGTTAAAGTGGTCAGAAATTGCCTCAGATAGCACCACAGAGCATTCAGAATCCAAAATTTTTTCTTATGCCTTTAGCTGTGAAAACCTCGAAAATTATGTTTAAATTATTATCCTTTGTGCTAAGATAATTATTGGTTAAAATGGTAAGAAATTGCCTCAGATCACACCACAGAGCATTGAGAATCCAATTTTTTTTCGGGGCCCTTAAGCGGGCCCCGAACCCCACGCCTATAGCTCAGAATACCGATAGCTGATTCAATGACTCCAACCTCGAAAACGATGTTCAAATAACTATCTTTTGCTAAGAAAATATTAGTTGAAGCATTGAGGAAAGTGGTTAGAAATTGCTTCAGATCACACCACAGAACATCTAAAATCCATTTTTTTTCGGGGCCCTTAAGCGGGCCTCGAACCCCCACGCCGTAAGGGCTTCGCGCTCGCATCAGTTCTGATCAAGGTATGTCCCCCCCCCCCCCACTTTTGAGAAGCGATTGATGCCCCTACATGACGCCCCCCCATGAAATGTTCCAGCCCCCCCCCCAGCGCCCCCCACTGAAAAATTCCTGGCTACGCCACTGTTTAACAGTCAATGTGTGAACGTGAATTATGATTCAAGAATCAAACTGGCACTTGGCGGCGACTGATAAAACATGAATAAGCTTAGATTATACTTGGAAGTGATATGAACGTTTCACCTGCGTTATAGGTTGATTTATTTCAAACATGAGGAAGTCTAGTCTTTAGTTTATGTTTAGGTAGACTTGCATTGAATAGTTTTTAAAGTAGTTTGTTTATGAATAAGGTATATGATCAATATCCTTATTCATGCAAATTGTTTGATTGGGTTTACCACCCGCAGGGAGACCTCTGGTCATTTTTTGTAACTTTATTTGTTCGTATAGCCCGTCTGTATATTTTTTAAAAATACAGGTTTTTAAAGAAAAATACAACTTTTGTAGATTCAGAATACAGTTTTTCGATCCCAAAGGTTGGCAGGTCTACAAAGGCCGCATTTCGTCCCTTTCGGGTTCCAAAACAGGATACAGAGGAATTTTTTACATTTTAACCAGTTATCCCAGACAATGAAAAGGACAAGATGGCAGCAGATACAGGGAAGCAATCACAGAAAGCTCCCTTTGCCGATGCTGTCCGGAACAAGCTTGAAAAAGTATTACATATAAAGGTTGATGCAACATCCCGCATGGGTCTGCAAACAACTTCATTCATGCTTCTATTATCAGAATACTTGGTTACTGCATGTGATTCCGGTTCCAGTGTTTCCCCTGCAATGGCTGTAAACGCCTTTCAGTGTCTATAGGGTGGATTACGCATCATCCTAGACCAATTTGCTAGGGTCTCTACACTTGTGACAGTCTCCAGACGTTCCAATGTACTGTAAACGATCTTCTTCCCTTCAGAAGGGGCAAGAAGATGCATGGAGGCTCTTCCTTTATGGAGCAATGATTTGTTTGTGGATCAGTTCCAGACCATGGGGGGCCGCTTAAGGTAATTCGGGGAGACTTGGACTCTTTTTTGCACCGATGGGTGGGTGCTCCAGACAGACACACAGGGATACTGCCTAGAGTTTACGAGCACCTCTCCATTGGTAATGGTTTGACGTCCCACCCCTGTTCCATCAGAAAGAGAACAGCGGAGGGCATTGGGGAAAGAAATTGAGACCCTGCTATTGAAACAGGCAATTCGACTGTTACAAAGCCCAGTAGAAAAATCAGGTTTTATGTCGACATTCTTCCTTACACCCAAGAAGAAGCAAGGCGAGTGGCGTCCTATTCTGATCCTAAAACCGTTGAACAGGTTTATTTGTCTTAAATTCTCTTCCAGCACATCTTGGGCTGCCTCAATAGCTCTGCAAGATGCTTATCTTCACATACCCTTTTGCAAGAAGCACAGCAAATGCATCTACCTAGACAATGGGTTAATCATAGGCAGATCAGAAGAAGAAGTTTGTCAGTCCTGCAAGTAACCATCGACTTGACAACAAGGTTAGGTTTTCTGATCAATTGGAAAAGGCTCATCTGGTCCCCACCCAGACACCGTCTTTTCTAGGGGCAGAAATCGACCTGGTAACAGGGATAGCTTACCCTTCCAACAAACGGATACATAATGTTCAGGAGTGCGCCACGCTGTTCCTGACAGCTCAATCAGCACCAGCGGTGGCCTGGCTACGACTGCTGGGCCTAATGGCCAGTCTGGTCGATCGAGTCCCATGGTGTCTCCTGAGGATGAGGCCAATTCAACTGCATCTTTTGGCTCACTTTCGACCCAGTCAACATCCTTTGTCAAAAGACATGCCAATACTGAAGCCAATCATCCCCCAAATTCATTGGTGGACAATTTGGAGCAACCTGAGGCAGGGTTTGCCGTTTCCTCCTCCACTTCCCACTGTGACTCTTACGACAGATGCATCCAACATGGGATGGGGTGCGCATCTGCAGTCACAGCAAGTGTCAGGTCTTTGGACGCCAGGCAAACTGGGTTTCCAAATCAATGTTCTGGAACTCCTTGCACTTCGCAGAGCCTTATCTCAGCTCATCAACCTAGTCGAATGGAAGGTTGTAATGGTGCAATCCGACAACTCAACTGTAGTGGCCTACATAAATTGCCAGTGGGCTCCTCCTTTGGTGTGATTCACTCACGCTAAAGAAAGAGGACGACAATGGCGCAGGCTCTGAATATTGTGGGTGCTGGCGCAGGAGGGCGCTGTGGTACGCTATAGCAAATCTTTACTTTACCGGTTAATTGACACAGCTAAGGAAATATGCATTTATAGGTCCAACAGGTTAGTAATCCCCTCGTGGACAACCAAACACCATAGTTTGGGGTTTTTTATGGACTGGACACATGGCCAATGTAGACCAATGAAATTGCAGTATCCAAGACACAATATAATGATCAAACTTTTTTTGACAACTTCAACATGGCACAGTGGTTTTAGACCCAGACATTTCACCCGAGTAGCCCAAAAATCCCCCAAATCACCTTCATTTCAAAAATCGATCATTTTAGCCAGCCTCGTGATCGGAATGCAGCGGCTGAGCAAGAGAAACAGCGCCTTCTGTTGACAAGCCATGAACAGGGGAATTCCTGTTCGGATCCGATTGTTCTGTAATGAGCGCACCTCATGTACTGTACATACACATGACACAAAACATCGATATTACATTTTACTAGGTGTCCTTGGCATGACATAAAGGTGCAAATTTCGCACAGGCAGGTTCTTTGTAGGGTTTGATGTCATGTAGAGTTTAGAGCAGTTAATATCGGAACTTGAACTTTCTTGTAAAGTTTGAAGAGAAAACATTTTCTTCGTAAACTAATTGCATGTATCAGACATTGACTTTTATTCAAAATGCCATGTGTTTAAGTACCACTTTGGACTATAATTGTAACACAATTTATTTGGGAATAGGCCCTTTCTTTTTTATTATGAAAAAGCTTTCAGTATGATTCTGTATGACTTTCACTTACAGCAAAACCTGATCTGTCCTATAAGTGTAAAGGCCTTTCGTCTCAATTTTAAAGTTCTTTTACTCTGGTTTTTCAAGAAACAAAGTGGCTGGAGCTACAGAACATGGATTTTTTTTTAGACACCGGACTAATACTACTAGCTTCACTGTTGTTTAAGAAATTATTATTGATAAACCGGACCCAAATACACCGAGAAAATCCTACGTTGAATCAGATTATTAAATAGTGAATGGAAGCAAATACAAAACGCGGCACAGTGACAAACAAAAAAGTTGTGATTGGATGAGTTTCTCGGTCGATGAAGCATTTGTTGTTAGGCAGATTTCACGATCGCTGGAGCAAAGAAGACCGTGTAACGGAACACCTTCCTTAGCCCAGTATAAAGCTTAGAGTAAGTTACGAAGTAGTTTTAGTTGTTCTTTTTTTTTAGAAAATAATACTTCTAAAATGTGTAGGCCTATATATGATGATATTCCATGATTGCCCTTTCTTCCCCAAACCCCCCCCCCCAAAAAAAAGTGAGAAACATCATAAACGTACATATTTACCTGCGTCGCACACAATGATTGATTTTATTTCCCAAATTTCGAGGGGAAAAAGATTAAATATTACTCTAAATTCCTTCAAAAATGAAAATTCTCCAGTAAATTGATAAGTCCCATTTGTGTAATTGAATAAAAACATGGGTAATTCTTACTTTTAATCTCACAAAATAGTGCAATGAACGTACGTCGTCCTAGATCCGCAAAGTTTCGAACTGAAAAAATAGTTGTCACACTGTACAATATTGGTCAACAGAGGGCGTTACTCACCAACGGTGAGTAAAACTCCCGAATAGCAAGATCTGCATCGTTTTGACAAAGATGCACGTACTAATGAATTCAGAACATATTTTACATGGTAAATAATCGCATCTGAATTCTTTTTCAATAATATTTTTGATGATGATTCAAGAAAATCGATGATGTCTGGGTCATGTATGGTTTTAAACCACTGTGCATGGGTACTACAAGTAATGTAATTCAAAAGATCAAAACGACAATTTTGTTCTATTTCTTTAACCGCTAACTTTTGTTTCAACTTTGATTTTTTTAAAACGTTGTTTTGATTGCTAATTACGAATAGTATTAAGGTCGGTAACAGAATGACGCTAAAATTAACATGACTTCTTTACATTTTGCCAAAAACTCCGAATTTTTAAAGGCAATCTTGAAATAAAAAAAACTAGAGTTTAGGCCATAATATAACAGTTTTTAATTGTAACTTTCTTGTTCAGTATTATGTATAGGTTGAGTAAGAAAACAGCGAAACCCAAATGTCGGGACCATTGTTTTAGTGTCGGGACCAAGTTCAGTTTGTTATGTCTGCGTTGTTCCATTGTCATCAGTCAACCTTGTTTCCATACCGACCTCCGCGTCTTGATAGTCCAACTTGTTCCAACTGTAGATAGATGGGGAGATCACGTGAGTGACCCTTCAAACATATGGGGATGAAGTTTGGTTCAGCGTTAACATTGAAGTAGACTTAATTACAAGTTGGTAATGGTCAGGGTTTTTTTGGAGGGGGGGTACAACATGGCAGTGCAGCACGGTCTGGTACATCAGTGGCGCTCACTCAGTGGTGAAACCAGGTTTGAATTACAGATTATTTGTGCAGCGCTGACATGTTTTTTGTGGTAAGCATGGCCGCCATCATGCTTGTCATGTGCGAGATCTCGCTGGATCTACAACACTTTTGGACACAGCAAAAGCTAATAATAATGAAGCCGAAAATACTGTATGATTTTTTAGTTTGAACAACATGTCTACTCTCCAGAAGTCCTGAGCTGGGAGAGCATTGACCTAGAATATCTGCTTCATATGAGGCATTACTTTGTTCTTCAGTGTAGGTCTGTAAGATATGCCCATTCAACATTTAAAAATTCAAATTGGGGGTGGATGGGTGGGTCAAAACAATTGCAAAACAAAATCGAAAATTTTAAACATTGATTATTCTGAATGGCCCCTAATACAATACCAAGTCAAACTGGATATTGTATGCCAATAATACAGCATTTTTATATAGATTTTCACTTGAGTTTTTGCTAAACATGAAAGAAAATAACTATCCAGGCCGGTTCATACATGGTACCAAAACGAACTCGAATTTGCACCGTCAATACAAGTTTTCGTGCCGAATTTGCGAAAGTAGAACACATTGCAACTATGGTAAATTTCACAGCGAATGTTTCCGTCAAATTCGCTTCGCATTCGCATGAAGATTGAACTGGCCTATCACAGAGACCACAGAGATTATCTTTAAATAGTAAAAGCAAATATAAAAATCACCAAATGTTCCACCCATAATGAAGGCAAAAAATAAACAATGAAGACTTCATTGACATAATCATGTGTACAAAGAATAGTTCATCTGTTAAGCACCAGGCATGCCAGGGATGACTCTCTGTACACAGCTGGCAGGCATGCAGTATGTGACAGACTTTCACTAGTTCTCCCATCCCTCTCCCACTCATAAAACAGGACATCAACAAGGGTGTCTCTTATTTTTTGGCGACGTTCACAGATTAAACAAAGTGTCCAAAAAGATACCAGAACTCATGGCTTGCTACTATCTTTTCCATTATCAACTGTGATGAAAAAAATAACACTTGTGCCATAGAAAAATATTTTATTGCTATATCTCATACATATTCATGATCGAGAGCCAAATTCTCACTGGTCCATTCACCATCACGTGCCGGATGCTATTTTTACAGTTTTCTAAGCGCGCAGGGTAAATACGCATGCGTAGTAGACAGTCTACTACGCATGCACTTTACGAAGCAATCTTGGAACTATCACACGGTTGCAGTACGCATGCGCGAACATCGCCGTAGCTACACATGGAAAGATGGCTGCACGCAACTACTAAAAAAAAGTTGTCCACAATGCGGTAGAAACTCTTAGGAGTTACTGTATTGCAAAAGAATTGAACTTAACTGAGGTTGAGCAATATTCTTCTGGTGAGCTGGACAAGTTTCTCCAAAGATGTTATGCCGACGTGCATACTGCAGTTGGAAAAGTCAGCAACTGAATATGTATGAGGTATAGTAAAACAAAATAACATTGTTTATTTCGGGTGGATAGTCGAGATTAGTCCCCTCGGTATTGGAAGTTGATGAACTAGTTCCCGAGGCGAGTAGTTTGTCAATTTTTAATACCTCGGGGAGTTAATATTGACTATATTTGTATACTCTAACATGGACCTTGATGTCTGTTTTGTTTTTGCAGGTGAAAATGTTATTCTAGAAAACACCTATATATGGGACAATGTCAGAATAGAATCGAACTGCAAAATGAGCATGGTTGTGTTGTGTGATAGGGTGAGGCTGATGGATTCAGTCATTATACAACCTGGCTGTGTGCTCTCCTATGGGGTGAGTGAATTCATAACACTGTTTCCTAGTCACTATGGATTCTGCTTAGCATTTGTGATCTTGAGACATGACAAATCTTTGTTCCAGCCTACCGTCCTTGGGATGAGAGCTCCACCCCAACATTCATAATAAGGCCCCCCAAAAAACTGCTTCCGGTTTCCCCGACTGACCCTAACAATTTTATCGGCAATTCCAAAAAAAATTTAAAAATTAATGATTGAATAAATCAAAAAAACATCTTGTTGTGTTTTTCTGTCTTCACAAAATACCTCTCAACAACCCTTTTGCGTCAAAAATGCATGTATACATGTAGGGTACATCAACAATAGGCCTGGTACACCTCCAACTGCCTTTGATTGCAATGTTGCCTGCTGTGATGTGGTCCATGGGTTTGTATGAGTGAGGGCAACACCTGGCAGTCCAGGGCAATAGAAGGGTGCCATGTGCCAGTTTGGTGTACAAAACCAATAAACCGGATCACAATAGACAACACATGTTGTTATGATATGGTTAATTTTTTTCAACTTTTTTGTGTTTTTCATAAGTAATAACTAAATAAATAAGTCATTATATGAAATGTACAAAAAAGTATTACAACAATTCTTTTCACACTCCTACGCTAAGTCAAATTGAACTTGATCTTTGATCTGTACATCTGTGTTTGACTGTTACATGCACGTGGGTCTGCACACAGGGTACATTATCTATCATGTGCGCATGGTCTCTTCTAGTGATGCTGTGCAAAGCAGTGGGGAAGAAAACATTCCAATGTCTTTGAGAACAACCAAGGTGATTAGGGGGGGGGGGGCAAGTGCCCCCCTCTTGCGATGCCCATGTCAGTGGAGTGTTCTATCTCCCCCATAAACAATCTTTGGTGCTGTCCCCTTTGCTCGCTTCACATAGGTTCTTGGCACCTTTTAGCAAAGCCTTATTTTAAGCCCACGCCCTTGCTCTGTAGTCATGTTCATATTGAATTGAAAAACGTAATGAAATTGACATTGCTTTTAAAATATATTTAAATATCAATTTCCCCCATAAACAATCTTTGGTGCTGTCCCCTTTGCTCGCTTCACATAGGTTCTTGGCACCTTTTAGCAAAGCCTTATTTTAAGCCCACGCCCTTGCTCTGTAGTCATGTTCATATTGAATTGAAAAACGTAATGAAATTGACATTGCTTTTAAAATATATTTAAATATCAATTTACATACTATGGCTTTTTAGAGGCAAGTGTATAATTAATGCATTAATGACATTCTAAAGTTTGCCCAATTAATCTCTGACAATTTGTCCAGGTCAAAGTAGGCCCAAGTATCACCCTACCATCAGGAACCCTCCTCACATTGTACCCCCCTAGCCATGGTGAATCAGACCAAGAAGACAAGGTTGATGATAGGCACATGAATCGTACCAACAGACAGCTGGGGGATGTTCCAGTGGACAAGGATGTTGTAGGAGAGGAGGGTGAGGGCTATGTGTGGCAACCTCCACTTGATCCTGATGATGATGATGGCCAAAGGCAACAGTTATTAGGTACGATAGAGAGAGAATACATACTGCACATCATGCAGCCACTATGTTGCATGTTGAGTCAGATGAGATGGGGTTTAGGGGCCGCCACCAAGGGTCTTTTTCCATTTATAATCGTGTATTTTTTTCCAAAGAAGTGTTTTCTTCAACGATAAAATAGCAAGGAAAAACTGGCATATGTAGACAAAATTCAGGGAATAATCCATTTATTTTTTGTTGGAAAAGTCCAAGAAGATTGCCGCCGTGAAACACAATTAATTAAACGGAGAAGGGAAAATGGGATTATTTGCTACAAGCATCTGCAGGGCCGTTATTAATTCTTATTAGAGTGTATTTGTTAAGTTTTTCTCTTCCGTAAATACGCATTTAGGAAGTTAATCCCGGAATATGCTGCAAGGTGGCTGTGGATGGGTTATTTTGTCAACAGATAAACTGCCTGCGGCTTATTAGGTTAGATTAAGGAGTGGGAGTATGAAAAAATCATCTCCAGTGTACGCGATGCATGGGCTGGTTTGTGTACATATGTGTTTTTTAGCTGTTTTGGAAAATTTCTGAAACAGCTCTTGTTTTTGTTAAGATTTTTTTTTGCCAAAATAGGTTGGGTCTCGAAGAGTGTATTTTGATATTCATTTTGGCTGATCAAATGCCAATGTTTTAGAGGGGCCTTCTTGAGAGCTGGGTGTTTTATTTGTGTTTTTATATTTTTATTATTTTCGGACTGCATGCGCTTCCCATAGCCACGCCAATTTTCTGTCTGAAGAACTTTCCATAGAATTCAAATATGTTTTGATGCATGATAAGTTCCAGGAGACAGCGTGCGTGTTCTCTTGTAGGTTTGGGTATTGCATGCAGTTAATTGTCAGCCACATCAGTGCATTGCAAAGTGATTCAATTGCCTCATCTTGTGGGCAGTTTGTAAACATGGTGACAATATCGAATGTTATCAACAGGCTATCTGGCTTCAATGTCACGTTCACTTTTTCAAGCACATGCCCGGAATCATGTGTATACATGTATGTGCTTTGTTGTTCGACAACAGGAAGCAGAAAATAGTCTATGTATTTTGAAATAGATTGAGTCAGACCTCTGCAACCACTAATGATAGGCCTCCCCACAAACCATGTTCCTTCAGGTGCTTCTTTGTGAACTTTTGGTAAGAGGTAAAGGCAGGGAATTTTGATGTCATGGTGGTTGTGGTTGAGATATTATTCCATCCATTGAAGTTTGAGTATGGCTTAAGAGACCAATTGCACAGTTTCCCCAGTCAAATCCCAATCAATCTCTTCATACTGTGGGCCTGATAAGTGCTGTAACCCTTCATGTATGTAGTCCTGTCTATTTATGCATACACTGCGGCCTTTGTCAAACGGCTTAATGACTGCGCGTTGTCTTTTCATCATGCCGATCAATGGGATACGTTCTGCTTCCATTATGAAAAGATTGACATTTTGAATTTTCCTCCAAAGTACCTTCTATGTATGATTCTAGGTTTAAGTTGAAGGTAGGCTGGGGATCCAGATTGAAGTGTTTGAATAGATGCGAGTTTGAAGGTCTTACTCTCCCTGCCATTTTGAAACGTGATCTAATTTTCTGAAGAATGATTGAGAACGGTGAAGGATGGTTGACCTGTTTGGTTTTCTAGAGGTGGGAATAAAGTTAAGACCCCTGCGCAGTGCAGACAGTTTCATGTTTGAGAGCTGACTGTCCGATAGGTGTTGTTTTAGCTTTTATTAATTCCCCTCATGATGCTTTAGCAGACTCGATAGAGAGTATATGTTCAGTCAATATTTGCTGAGTGATATCTGCAAGAGAGCATGGAAATTGTGGTTTGGTTCGCAAAGTACAAAATGAAGTATATGCTGGTTTCTTTTGTGCGTGTGCTGTGAACAAGGTCACGGCAAGTACACACACAAGAGTTATTATCAGGTGGGCAGGTGGGTGGGGGGGGGGGGGGCAGGAACACATGTACATATTGGCACAGGATTCCATAACCATCATTGTATGTATACCTAGGTGTCTCAAGAGTTATGTTTTATACATAAATGGAGTGAGGAGTAGGGCTAGATCAAACACATTATTTATACTGTAGCCTTGGAAACAACATTGCCACGTAAATGTTTTATTTGAAAATATTTGGTCCCTTCTGAACGCACTCTTGTAATGATGAGGCAGTACCGTAGTAGTGGTATGGTGGTGGTTTACTGTAATGTTACAAACATTATAATACTTAACTTTAGTAACAATTACATATGAAAACTTCACTTAGAAAAGTTGCAAAATAATCCCATCAAATCACTCAGAATATGATAAATTGTAACCATAAATAGATCAATAAAGCTTACCGATTGTGTTGGAATCCGAATCTACAACATTTGGGACCTAGTCACCTTGATAATTTTACATAATAGGGAGATAAATTTGGTATGTGTCAATAATTTACTAATCATCGGAATCGTAAAGAATTTAAACTGTGACCTCACAAATGTACAATATCGAAAGAGGGCGTGCTATAACGAAAGTACAGGAACCAAAAAAATGTTACCGCAACAAACTTATTTCCAATCAAATGTGTGATCTTAAATTACAAAGAAAGAAAACACTTTGAAACCCAAATCAAATTTCACAACTTACCGCTACATATAGCATAGAGGAATTAGCATATTATGACTGGGTTTATGGAATTCTCTCAAATCAATAAGTGCACTTTTTTATCATACTTCTGTGAACCTAAACTGGAATTGAAGGTTAGCGTGCACAACCAATTAAAGGGTGACATATTTGGTACAGTTGGCTCAGAAAATATAAGTGTGAAAGATGCCATGTTGTATTAGAACAATTGATATAGTGACCCATGAACAGTATTGCAAGACTTGTATTTTATCCCTGTTTTATTCATTATTAACTATTAAGGCAAATTTGATGGCAAGTTTATGAGTGATGATAGCTAGCACAGCATGACAAGTTTTCGTTGCTTCTTCACAACTAACACATCTTGTGAAGTTTTCATTGTACATGTACCATGAATTTTGAATCATTTACCAACATTTCTTATTGGTCAGGTCTAAACGTTTCAGTGGAAGATGAGACGAAAGGCAGCTCAGAAGAATCAGAAGATGAAGGGCAAGAGGACTTTGTTTCCATTTCACCTCCACCAGATGACACTAGATGTTAGTGGCATAGATATGCTTATATTTAGGCAAAAACAAAATTTGGTGTGTTGCCCTCATCAGATCGACCTAAAAATCTGGAAATCTCCGGTCGGCTTTTTTTTTTTTTTTTCACACTTGGAAAAAAATAACAAACTTGATCCTAAATGTTACTGTTTCATTGTAATGCAGTAATTTAGCATTTCGTTACAAAACATACATACCTGAATGGTAGCACAGTGCGAATTGACCGTATTTTGTACATGTAACTGAGGCTTGGGGCATGTGGTGTGATGTACTGCATACATTGTATACTGGTGTGTATGTACATGCACTGTACATTGTATTGCACAGTATAGTTGGCCCGTGCAGTACATGCTTAGCCTTTAGAAATGTTTCGTGTACTTTGGTAGAGGGGAACTGGTAACTAAATGGATTTTTTTTTTTAAAGTCCCAACCAACCAACCCCACTTACATTTTTTTTTATGTGAGGGCAACATAACAGGTTTTTTTTGGCTTATGTTCATGTACTTTTTTGTATTTGCTGCTCATTAGAAAAAGTTGAAAATCCTTTACATGTTTAAATAGCAAAATAAGTACATGTATTGAGTTTATAGGGTTATACTAAAACACAAAAAGAAACGAAAAGAATATAAATAATGCACAATTGATATATAACGAGAAAAGCAACTTAAAGGGAATATACATCATTTGCTTTTGCTGTAATTTTCAGAAATGGATGGAATTGGGGGGTTGGAAATATATAGCAAACATAGTTACACTGACTTTTTTGAGGTTTTGGGTTCGAAAATGCTATAAAAACCAAGAAAAACGATCATTTTCCTGTAGTCTGGTTCCCTGACCCCATATAAGAAGAAACTGAGCAGTTTACATACATTGGGGAATTGTAAGGTCAGGGAACCAGTCTAGCTGGCTCGTACCCGTTCATAGGTTTGTAATCGATTGCAAACAAGTGCGATGGTCAATTGGGGCCAGTATTTGAAAAAAAGCCAGTTGTTTCCAACGCTGATCGGCCGATCAGCGTTGGAAATTGATACAAAAATACCACTTTTCTTGAAAATGACAGTATACCAGGTGCCATGATTTTACAGGATGCTTTACACTGTCATTCACTAACAGTCCAGCAAGGTATTTCAAAATGATTTGGTAGTTTTATTTTTTGATGTTTGCAAATGTTGTATTTTCCCTTTAATATCTTAAACATCAGTTACAGTCTTTTTTTATTATTTTTCAATATTACCTTATGCAGTGTTTTACAATGAGGTGATAGATAGCATGCAGCGGACCATTGAGGAAAATGTGAAGTTGGAGAACTTGATTCTTGAAGTAAACTCCTCCAAGTATGCATACAATGTGTCCATGCGAGAGCTGGTTCAGCTGGTAGTGAAGGCTGTGCTAGAGATGCCTCACCTGAAGGTCACTGAGCCCCTACAAGCCAGCCAGTTGTTGCCAAGACTCACAACGGTCAGTTTTAGAAAACTGAGGAAAGTTTCTAGGCAAGATCTAGGCAACAGTAATCACTTACAGTAAACTCCGGCTAAACCTACATCGTACAACTCGTCAAATCGCTCAAGTCGGCTGTTTGACTAAAGTCCCGATTGTCCGTAACATTTCCATTGAATTTTTTATTTCTAAGTCAGCTTTTGTAAGTCGCCATTTCGTTCAAGTCATCATGTTACTGTCGGTCCCCTTTCCATAAAAAGCATTACAAAATCCTTTGTGTAAGTCGGCATTCAACAAATCACGCATTGGCATCGACTTCCTGTACTGCTATTGGCAAAGTGTTGAGTAAAATGTGGTTTCACACGGCCCGTGATCACTGCATGCATCAGTGTTGAAAAAGGGTGTCCTACTGCATACATCGCATATGCATCGTGAGCACATCAATACCAGTACCCCCTCTAGGCTGTACGCATTGGCTCTGCCCATTTTGGGGGTTGTCTTATTGAATGACTACTGCTGCAGTCAATGTGTGCGTGGTATATACCGGACCACGCACGCATTGAATTCGTTACTGTGCACGTACATATGTATTGGGGTCTCCACTATCAATACCCCAAACGTGATGATACAATTCGAGGATTAATTTGCTGGATTCAACTCGAGCATTAAGGAGATAATCCAGGGTAAATCGAAGCCAATTAGTGCAATGAATCATGTGTGCAAAAGACCATTCATGTAAGTCGGCAGAATGACGACTTACAGCAGATATCGGCATTCGCGTAAGTGAGCACAAATTCTCGGGTCCCGAGAGTGCCGACTTAGCCAGAGTTTACTGTATTTTGAACATTATCAGTTCTTCAAATTTTTCATATGTTAGGATCGTTACATTCTCCAACAAACACTGTTTCACTTGATTAATTAGCAGAGCCTCATAATAATAGCTAATCAATTGAACTGATGGTATGTCATTTTATGTTTACAACAGAGGTATTTACCGTATTTTAAAATTCTTAAAATTCTTCATGTTGGAGTCTTACTCCAAAGTTGGAGTCCAGGTTTTGGTCACTGTTCAATGTGAGTCAGAGTCCAATACACATAAAAAAAAAAAATGGGTTGATATGGCCAAACTATACCTTTACCAGCAAAAACACATGGTATCACCTTAAAACAGGAGCTACATGCTTTTCAATGATACCTTGGTTACTTTCCAGGGTCATGCATTATTGAGCACGATTGTCTTGAAAATATGGTGCAAAATTGGGGTTGGTACACTTTCATGTTGAACAAAATCGGCACAGTGTGCCGGAGGACAATGGAGATAAAAGAGCACAAGAACATAACAAATTGAAGAAGACTCATGATTCTTGTACATTAATTAAATTGTATCCATGAGTCAAACATTATCCAGCATGAGTTTCCGATTTTCCCTCATTCACCAAGACTCCTGCCTCGAACCACCCCACCCCGTTGGATGCCTGCCCCCCCCCCCCCCCCCCCCCACCAGACCTCACGCCCTGTGACTTCTTTTTGTTGGGTCATTTGAAGAACAAAATGTTCAGCACTCCACCAAGCAACATGCAGGATTTGCGTAACTGGCTTCAGCACGAAGTGGATATTTTGCGAGGAGATCCAGATGCCATGAGACGAGCTGAGGACAACATGCACCGTTGATGTCAACTGTGCTTGAAGAGGGGAGGTGGACGTGTGGAGAGTCTTGGCAAATGAGGGAAAATTAAAAAACTCATGCTGGATAATGTTTGACTCATGAATAAAATTCAATTAATGTACAAGAATCTGAGTCTTCTTCAATTTGTTATGTTCTTGTGCTCTTTTATCTCCATTGTCCTCCGGCACACTGTGCCGATTTTGTTCAACATGAAAGTGTACCAACCCCAATTTTGCACCACATGTTCAAGACAATGGTGCTCAATGATGTGTGACTCTGGAAGGTCAACCAAGGTATCATTGGAAAGCATGTAGCTTCTGCTTTAAGATGATACCATGCTGTTGCTGTATAGTTTGGCTATATCAACCCTTGAAAGTAGGATTACTTTTTTTTTAACACCCTGTGCAACCAAGACAAGTTGCAATTTCACGACAAAGTCATGTTTTTCATTCTGATTAATTTGTTATTTAATTTGTTTACTTTTTTACAGCTAGTGCACAAGCTTCTTCCTGTTTTTCGGAATTACATCAAGAATGTGGAATCACAGCTTGATTGTCTCAATGCACTGGAGGTAATACAAGAAATATGCTAAAACAAACATATCTTGACCCTTAATATACATGTATTGTGATCTATGTAATGTTACCAAATTAGTTTTTGTCTCGCCTGAACTCTGTTCAGGAAAGGAAAGAGACTATGCAATCACTATGTCTGTAGGTATGTAGTATGTATGTATGCGTGATCTGGCACACGGTACCCTCTGGAGACATGTGCACAATAGGGAACAAAAGATTGTATACGTCTCCAGGGAGCAATTTCTATAGGTGAATACGTCTCCACAAGGCTATCACGAAATAGATATATGGATTTTACTCAAAAAGTAGGAATTTCCAAGGTGTGTTGATCCGTTGCAAATTGAAATAGTTTATGTAAGGGATATCAAGTCCGAATTTCAGCCCAGGAAATTCATTCTGGTTAAAATAGAAGCATTTTGAAAGTACATTTTCAAACTTGAAAACTTTAGTACACGAGAACAAAGAAATGACTCCACAAGGATACAAATTCAAGAATCTGTGTATTCATGTATGTATGATCTGATACACTGTGCCCTCTGGAGACATGCACACAATAGGGAATAAAAGATTGTATACGTCTCCGCAGGGCAATTTCTATAGATGAATACGTCTCCACAAGGTTTTCATGAAATATATGGATTTTACTCAAAAACTAGGAATTTCCAAGGTGGGTTGATCTGTCACAAATGGAAGAGTTTTAGAAAAGGGATATTAAGTCTGAATTGAAATTAATTCTGGTTAAAATAAGAGCAATTTGAAACAACACTTTCAAACTCGAAAACTTTACTACACGAGAACAAAGAAATGTCTCCACAAGGATACACATTTCAGTATGTGTGTATACTATGTATGTGGTATTTTGGTAAAAGTTTTGTAAAATTGGTCTCATATTAAAAGTTGAAGTCCAATTGGAACCAAAGTTGGGTCTGATGCAACTTGGCAACCTTCATATGATAATGTTGTTAATGGTCACATACCAAGGTCTAAGGTCATCTGAGGTCAAGTTGTAAAATAGGCTGAACATGTAAAATTGGTCTCATTTGAAAAGTTGAAGTCCAATTGGAACCAAACTTGGGTCATAGATGCAACATCAAAATGGCAACCTACATATGATAATGATGTCAAAGGTCACATACCAAGGTCAAAGGTCACATACCAAGGTCAAAGGTCATCCGAGATCAAGTTGTAAAAGAGGCTGACATGAAAAATTGGTCTCATTTGAAAAATTAAAGTCCAGTTTGAACCAAGTTTGGGTCATAGATGCAACATATCAACCTTCATACTGATCAGTCACTCTTTAAAGATAATTGCAAAAGAATCATGTTGTTATAGATTATGAGGTGTTCGTCAAAGTTCTCTATCCCATGCATAGAAACTGACATACCTTGGTCCATGATCAACTTGAACAAAATGACTTTGTCAATGCCAGAGGAGACAGTCAACAAGATGTCAGGAGGTTGTCTGCAAGGACACCTTACAAAGCAAGACCTAGCAAAGCTGACTGCAAGCCTTCCATCAAGCATTTGGGTCATGTTTCCTGCAGCCCTGTTCTATCAGAGTCTCTAACAGGACAAAGGAGATGCCCCTTAAAGAGAGGCTTTATATGAAGTGCTGGCAGTTCTTTCTCCAGCATCCCGAGAATTATATGCCTGGATCCGTTGCATCAGGTAATAAAATGATCAGACGTCTCTCAATCCAATTCCAGACATCACCATCCAGACAGATGCGTCACTCCAAACTTGGGATGCCCACACTGTGCACAAAGGTGTGGGGGTTGATCATCAACCAAACATGACATTATCAGCAGAATACATTCTATGCAAACAAAACACAGTTGCTGAAAGGATGTCTGTGTTATTCCATAAACAAATGGGGTGACATCTTCATCTTTACTGATGTGAGCTCCATCTATCAGTGGATCTAGCACAAGCCTTAGTGACAGGATGTATTCACCATCAGCTGGATCAGCTGCAAGATGCTAAAAGTTTACTTCTTTACCTTTTTGTAAACATGATGACTAGAGGAGATCCTCAGAAACAAAACCAGAGTCATTCCGTAGTGAAAATGTGACCATAGTATCCTAGTTTAGTGAAATTTGCAATAAGATCATTCAGTTTTGCTACCTTAAAGCAAGTGATCGGGCTTGGCTTTCATTAACTTTCATTAACTGCCTGAAAATGAATAAACTAATTGAGCTACTAAAGTTAATGTTCCCAACTGCAATCGGGAACAATTGATACAATCAATCGTAGAATCAAATCAGAAATGGAATGGTTAGGCAGGTTGCAGGGATTATCCTTAGCGGTCGCCCGCTCGCCAAATGCGAGTGAAAACAGCGGCGGGCGAGTCAAAACCCTCCTCTCAGTAGTCCGACGGGCGAGTCAAAAAACTGTTAAAGAAAATAAAAATAACGAAGTTTTCCCTACAGTATTTTACAATCAATCAAAATAAAAAGTTAAGGGTGATACAACACATGAATACTTTTGCCACGCCGACCGAAATAAAAACATCGGTAGTTCGAATTCGTATCACTCCATGTATATTCGCAGTGCGCTGTGCATTGAAATCCCAACGACGAACATGAGGCGAATCAACGTGTATTTGCCATTACACATTGTGCACACATGCAGCGCACGTGATTTACTTCGTCTGCAGTAGTCCACAAGGTACGGACGTACCACGTACAGTACATGTACGTTAACATCGTATTCGTATCATACAACGTGGTGAGGAGAAAACTTTCATGACAGTCTGCCAAAACTTGTGCCCGAACGGATTCTTGGGATGATTTCTTGAACACTATCAAACGAATGTACCGAAAAGATGAGGACAATATGAGATTCGAGGGGCCTATTTTGAATGTAAAGACTAGTGAATGTAAAGTGGACCATGCTCCGGAAAACGTTATGGATTGACGTGACCAGCGTAAGTTCGTGGGTCGCCCACCCGCAGCGCTTCTTGGCTAGGCACGCTGATTGCACCATTCTTCGCTAGAAATGCATGGCGCGCGCGAGAGATGTTTTTTTGAAAATACTGGCCTTCTCACTCATTTTCAAACAAGTTAAAACAGTTCAGTTACTAACTTGGTAAACTCCCATTAATACCACGACTGTGTGCAATGTTTTCTTGTTCCTCAAGATAACGCTTTTTTAGTTCGTGTTTTATCAAAACATGTCGGAAATAGAACACCTAAAGCCTTAAGTTCGGAACGAAGCACACTGCATAAATTTTGATTATAACTTCTCCCCCTATTTGATTCCTGTTAATTAAAGCCTTGCTCTATGTTAAAGCATGGACGATTAAAGAAACATTGACATCTTTTAAAAAGGAACTACATGCAATATTATGTACATGATTAAGATAAGTATTCATATTGCATAATTTATTATCAAAACTGTTATCAAAAATGCTTATGGTGATTTGATTGAAAGTTACTATTAAAACATGTGGGCTAGTGAAAAAGGTTGCGGGCCAGTGAAAACTCTGGTTTACTGGCCCGGCCGGCCAGTAAAGGAAAAAGTTAAGGAAAACCCCTGCAGGTTGAAGTGGTGACCAACAGGGGTGTCCAGTCTCTTGGTGTTGACAGTCGATCAATGGCCATAGAAATGTTTCTTGGTGAGGATGCCATTAGGCTAATACCTGGTTGTCGGGTATGGCGCAAGCAAGGCGATCTGAAGTGTGAAAAATGTGATGGTTGTCATTAGTGATTTTACAAAGATGAGGGAGACTGGGGGTGAAAGGTGGTGACCAAGGGAATCTTAGAGTTGTCATTTGCTCTTGGGGCCTTTTCTCGGAGAGCCACATTGATGGGGATAGCTTTGGCTCAGGCAATAGCATGTTGAACTTGGCAGGAGCTGTGAGCCCTGGCAACCAAGTTGTTCTTCAATGCCTGTGCATGATGGGAGAAATCAGATTTATTAGAACTAATCCTTCTGTGTCTGAGTGCCTGGCTGAACGCTATACCCGTCTTACAATGCCTCGGGTGACAGCTGGAGGAGTGGAGGTACTCGTGGGTGCCTGTAAGGTTTAAAATACAGATCAGTGGTTATTGAGTTGTGTTCCTTGAGAATGGTGATGTCAAGGAAGCGGGTCTGTTGAACTGAGTACTCTGATGTGAACTTGATGGTCCTGTGGAAGGAATTGATGTGATAAGTGAAAGTCGCCAGGCTGTCCTCATCAATGGTCCTAATGAAAAATACATCATCAATATATCTCCACCAGATCCAGGGATGACAAGGTGCTGCACCAAGCATGCATTCTTCGAGGCCACCCATGAAGAGGCATGCAAATGAGGGGGCCATGCGAGTACCCATTGCTGTCCAACGTATGTGCAGATAGTGTTTACCCAGGAAGGAAAAGTTGTTCTTTGTAGTACAAGTCTCATGAGGGTACCAGTATCACTGATGGGAGGAGTCGTGTGTCCTGCCTTGGCCAGGGCAGAGGAGCAGGCACGAATACCTTCCTCATGTTGGATATTGGTGTGAGGGGATGAGACGTCAAAAGTCCCAATGATGGCCGTGCTGGGAATCTGGTCCTTAATTCCTTCTAGCTTACGCAAGAAGGCCGTGATGTCATGAATATACAATGGGACCTGTGGGACAAGGGGTTTGAGAAAACTGTCAATAAACAGGGAGATGCTTTCCTTGGTTGAACCACAGAAGATAGGTCTACCAGGGTTACCAGCCTTCTCAATCTTGGGAGAAGGTAAAATTTGGCAGTCCCACAGTCAGTTGGGGAAGAAATTTGTGAGCTTTCTTTGATAGCTGGTCACGTGATCGCATATCAGCAAGCACCTGCTGTATCTGTTGACAGAATGAACCTGTGAGATCAGAGTCAAGGCAGATGTAGTTAGTGCAGTTATCCAACTGGTGTCGGGCCTCATCGATGTACTGCTGATGATCTATGATGACCACAGCTGAGCCTTTGTCTGCTGGCTTGATGATGTCAGTACGAGAGCGCAAGGTATTGAGTGCCAAACGCTCCTCTTTGGGGAGATTATCTTGAGTCGTGTGGGGGAAGTTTTCAGGGTTGGGAACTGACAACTTGAACATATGTTTCAAGGGCTGGTACACGATTATTTGGGGTACCTAGGTACTTTTAACACGGAAGGGTTCTTGGTCACATGGGTCAGAATCAAGGAAATACTCACGGAGACAGATCCTACGGTAGTAATCCGTGAGATCTTGGCTGAGCTGAACCTGGTTTACACAGCTGGGAGTGGGACAAAGGTTGAGACCTTTGGTTAGAAGTTTATGTTCAGCAATCAGAAATGGATGAGGATGAAATGTTAACTACAGTATTGGAAGGGGTAGCTTTGTGGGCTGGGGCCTTGGACATCTGAAGCGTCTATGTTTGTGCTGATGTTGCTTGGCAAGCAAGTCGCCAATCTTCTTGTTCCTCCTGTTGAGAAGAACAGAGTCAAGGCTAGATAGGCCCCTTTCAATCTCATCATGGAAATTCCTGTACCTAGTGTCGGAACAAATGGATCTAAGTTCTGAGTCAACGTGGGCAATATTTTGATGGAGTTCCTGAAGTGTAGATTGACACTGTTGAGAGAGAATATTGATGAGTTTAATAGAGGTACCGGTACCGTGTAGAACTTGATTCCATCTCCTTGGAAGATGTGGGAAGAGAGATAGAGAGAAAACAGTGTAGTTATATTGATGGTAGGAATAGCGAAAGGCCTCCTCCCTAGCCTTTCTGGGCTGCTGGAATGTACACATTTTTCCCACTCTTTTCATTACTATTATTATTACATGCATAGCGGGTAGGCAGCGATCTTGGCTGTAATCAACCTCTCACAGTGACCAACTCTGCCCTCACAGGTACCCATCTACTCCTGGGTGGAGAGAAGCAATGAGTGACAAAGAGCCTTGCTCAAGGGTACACGCACCATAACCCCAGGCTGGACTCGAACCCACAACCTGCAGAATTACCGCAGACCACAAATTCAATGCTCCAGACCACTAGGTCACAGTATCCTACAAAGTGTGTGTAATGTAGTTATCATAGATCTAGTTATAATGTGTAATGTCTGGTGTAAATTGGTACAGGCATTGCTTAATCAACTTCGTCAGCATAGGAACCAAAACGGATGATTTAGAGGTAATCTGTAAATGAGTCCTTCAACAAAGTGATCTGAAACCACTTCAAAACTGCTTAAACAAAAGTCATTGTCTGAGACGTGGTGGAGCGGTGGGATTGAAGGCATATTTTCATGGATAGTTTCTATCATTCTATGAAAGAACTCGATAAAAATTCCAGGTAGTGTAGCCAAGTCGAGATCAGGAGTGACTGCAGTTTTTGTTCTCTTTGTGCCTGTGATCTCATCAATGACATGAAACAAAGTTCCTGTAGCAGCACCAACTGTGCAATCTTGGTGATAAGAAGCGTGGGCATCACGCAGCTTTGATACATATGTCATTCTTAACATTTGTTCATGAACTACAGGGTCTGATTTCATCCAGCCTCATTTCATCTGACAAAGACCTCTGCATTCCTCCAACACCATTTCTTAAACTACAGAGTACAAACTTTATCCCAAAATTCCTTGCAGGTGACTGGAGCAACCTCATCAGTGATAGATGTCAGTATATTGTATTCAGTTAAGGAGAATACACAAGAAAGTGTGGATTTGTAATTTAAGAATTCACGAGGCGGAGAATCTGTGACAGTGAAGATGCATTGGTAATTTTCGGAAAGCAAATTTTCACGCAGACGGTCCTATTCAGGCTCATTATGGAGAGCAATTGTCCGACGTGTTCAAAGTGTGGATTCGTTATTCCGAATCCACACTTTACTAAAGATTCGTCTCTGAATCCAGACTTTGTGACCAGTGTAAGAGATTCGTTGATCTAAATCCACACTTTTAACAATAGTGTTGCATCATAGCAATGGTTTAATTAACAAGATCAGATGGACTGCAATGCGGCGCAGGTAGAATTGGCTGTAATGATGATGTAATGAATTGGCTGTAATGAGGATGTAATCTTTTGCTGAAGATACTCCATATCAAAAGAAAATTTATGACAGCAAAACATCCCAATTCTGGCAAATTCTAATGCTGAAAAAGCTGTAACATTGAGGTTTCTGCCTGAAATGACATCACACTTTTTGCTCATGAATATGAAAATTTGCATTAGCATAAAAACCAAAAAGGCACCAAAATATCCTTGAAAATGGCAAAACAATAATTTGAAAATAGGGTTACATGGGACACAAAGGTGCATTTTTAAGGATTGCATCAAACAATCACATTGCATGACCTTTAAGGTTGTTTTTAGGGGGTTTTGTTTTGAGGATTTTCTAATTTAAAAATGAAACAGGATTTCAAAATTTGGATGCCTTTGAAACATTATTGCATCTTTTATCAGCACATGGTAAAATAATTCTTGTGTCAATTTCATGTTATAATACTACTGCAACTTGGATGAAATGGATATACATATACCTGTATAGCATTTGGAAACAAACCCTTTGCTCGTTTCTTTGTATAAAAGCTTTTCAATTTGACTTTTTGAAATCATTAAATTATTTTTAATATTTGCACTTCGTTCACTTAGAACGGACCAACGTTGGGAGCAAGACAAGATTGGGTTTTGTAGCATCTCGGCCTTTCATTAAATAATGTTAAGAGAATCTGTTGATACGTCCTGGAGAGATTTGCTTCATTGTGCAAGTCTACAATAACAGGAGCACTACATGTACATACCTTTTGAAAATCTGAAAGTAGTACTGTTAAAATGCTGCATTTCACTGTGAAGAAAGCTACGATGCCATATTGTAGTCATGCAAACTGGCACATTCCTTGTGGTTGAGCATTTTTGTTTGGTTTCGTCTGTATCTAAATAAACCAGGCAATAAACTTGCTGGTATCTCTCCAATATATTTCTACTGTAGAACTTTGAAGACAATGATTAACAGCCCATGAATAAAAGTTATACTTTGTTGATACTAAGTGTTCTTTAAGATTAGTGACATGTACATGTAGAAGTTTACAAATGCTCACTTAATTAAAGAAGTTGGCACATTTGGGATGTCAGTTTACGGGAAGTGTACTATCATACATGTATCTCTCTAGAATGTATCTCTTTTAATGTTGAAAAACAAGAATTTCTTTGAATGAGGACCCGAGTTTACAACCAATGCATGGTGCTTGACCAGAAATGGTTATTGGCCATATATATGTGAGAAAAACAGTACACTGTGACAATGCCGGTTGGGGGGGGGGGGGGCATTACAGTGCCCTCATTTGTCCAAAGTTATGGCTCAACAACATCTTGTTTTCTTAGAAATAAGAGGTAAATGGAAACACTCATGGAACCTCTGAGGGAAACAATACTCAAAGTGGACCAATTCAATCAAGTAGTGTTCTGGTGTACCCCTCTATTAGGATTACTGCCATGCTAGTAGGGCAACCACTGCAGCCCTTCCAAAGATACTGCTGCTGTTGTATGAGGCAGATGTACTGAGTGAGGAAGCTATACTCCAGTGGTACAACAGCAAATCGTCATCAGATGACCCAGCCAATAGTGCAAATAGACAACAGATCCAAACTCAGGTAAGTCTTTAATTTCATGGAGATAGACTCCACCTTAAACACTGTGAAGGCTTCAATTTGCCCAAAGAAAACTTGAGCTATGCGCCACACTTTGGTACTAGTCATGTATTGTGGTTGAATGCATTTTTGTTTTACTCAAGTGAATTTGAATCAATGACCTTTAGAATAGTGTTTTGGTTTAATATGTGCTCTACCACCTGAGTTATCAAACAGCATCGATAGTAGAGAAAACCTATCGGTTTTGTGATTAAGAAGAGCCATTAGACTCGGTAAGGAGATGTAATAATTATATGATATACTGGTACAGTCTAATGTGAAAGTGAGAGCGGATTTGTTAAAACGAGCATATTTCAAAAGTCTCAACCAAAATGTGCACATTCCTGTGAGAGAAAATGTTCTTAATACTTGCTTTGCTAGTATGAAAACACGGTTAGGACACGCGTTTTCGTTGACCTGGTTGTGTGCAAAGGCATTGTTTACAATGAGTAGTATTCAAAATACCTTGTCAATTCATTCAATCAATTATTGTAGTGCTAGTGCTGGCTTATTCAGTGCTGCGGTTTTCACTGGGTGGACCCAGCAACTGTTTGCCTTGTACTGCTAGAGGGTGTTTTATGAAGAAAAATAATGGTCGTTGCAGCTGTCTTACCACCAAGAGGGGGTTTATTACAAATAGACAATTGGTATTAGAGGTGAAATTTGGGGAAAATGAAAAATCCACAAAATATTCAGCAGAGGGGAGGGTGTGGGGCTGCTGAGGGCCCCAGAGCAATGTAGTTTCTATGCTATATGTTTGTATTTGCCTAAAGGCAGCCCTTAAAATACCTATTTCTTTTGTTCTTTAAAAATGTGTATAGGTTAACACCTTTTGGTAAAAACACCAGATTCAAAAGGGATTCTTTAAAAATCCTGAAATGGAGAAAAATGCTTAAGGATTTAAAAAAAAACCTTGAAATCAAGAAAACATGCTCCCAAATATCGCCCTGGGGGTATGCCTCACATTCGTTGGATGAGAAATGCGTGGTGTGGTTCATAATTAAACAACATTTCCCACTGAAAGAAATTTAAATTCTACTTCGCTTGTTCGTAGAGTATTACTAGATATATAATATCCCCTAGAAGGTGCCAGTAAGTCATTGGCTCAGATGTATTTCCCACAGTGCCTTGTGGCTCCAAGCCATGACACATCCTCTTTTCTCTTAGCGTGCGCTACTGGAAAGAGGTGTTTTTAAGAGTTTTCTGTAGTTATTATGTACTGCCTTCTTGATATCTTTGAGTATTCTGCAGTGAATTTTGGTGCAGTTCGACAGGAAGATTTAGCGGAGTACAGAGTTGTAATGAGTCACTGATTTTTGTGACTCAAGTCGAGTCAAGTCATTTTAAAGAAGCAACTCCATTCGATTCCAGTCATTAGGTCAATAGGTCGAGTCGAGTCGAGTCACAGTGTGAAGTCGAGTCAAGTCGAGTCAAGTCAAGTATTTAGATCGAGTTAGATCAAGTCACAAATATTTGAACACTATACAATAAATAAACATGAGATTAAGTTATTTTTTGGCTTTTTAAAATTTTACATTCGGGCTACTACATGTGGCTACCAGCTGCTCTCCATTCAACTAATGGGGACACTGATCAAACCACGTATGTATATGTATCGCGAACATACACTGTACATGTACTATATGTGATGTGAACAGAACCCGGCAACGGCGTGAGTCATTGCAAATATTTTTCGCAAAGGTTTGCTTTTATTTTTGGGACTCGAATCTTATTAGCCTTCCTCGAGTCAAGTCGAGTCTTTCTGATGAGGGACTCAAGCGAGTCGAGTCATTTGCTCACAGTGACTCGAGTTGAGTCGAGTCATTTACCCATCGGGACTCAAGTCGAGTCGAGTCGCCAGAAATTGTGACTCGAGTTGAAGTCATTGACTTGAGTCATTACAACTCTGGCAGAGTCGTGCTTGCCCAATCTAGGCAACTCGCTCTCCCACTATTGTCAAGGAGGTGCACTTGTCTCATCTCATCTTGGCAATTCAAACATGTACCTCCCATCCAGAGCAACGCTTCCCCAACTCAGCAACACATACTCCTGCATCTTCCATAACAACTGGTTGCTTGTCATGCAGAATTACATTTCGCCCATCTTGGCAACTCACGCTCCCTATATTTGACTGGGAAGTTACACTTGCCCAACCTTGGCAGTTCGCACTCTAGAACACGGATAATAATTCATGCTGCTTTGCCCACAAGGCATCGACCCATGCTACTCCTGCTACTTCTGCTAATTACTGGTCAGACGGAGCTGCCTTTGCCCTACATCAGCAACTCCTGCTGCCCTATTTGGTTGTGTCAACAGCAGAAGTCTGGTATCTCCGAAGTGGCAATGAATATTGCCTATGGTTGATAAAAAAAAAGAGATGATTTCACTCCCATATCTAAATGATGTGTTTCTGTGTTGGAGGGCAAGCCTTACGCCATTAAGCTCCAGTTCTTGGAACCTCCAGAACTTGGAACCTCCAGATCTTGAAGGGCCTGGTTTCTTCATACCGATGTCACCAACTGCAAACAATTTGAACTTCGAAAATCTACAAAGCATTTGAACAATTCAGTGTATAGCATTTTTGAGATGTAAGTCTTAAGGGCATACGTTAATCACAGTTGACTGGTTTATATGCAAGGCTTGACTTTGATGTGCCAAAACTTGTTTGCACAAAATTTGTGTCAGGGATGGAACATTATTAAATTGCTTACTTTTATCTGACCAAGTGATATTTTGTTATGCAGGTTCAGCCATTCATCAAGTGGCTAGAGGAGGCAGAGGAAGAGAGTGATAGCGAAGAGGAAGATTAGTTTCCATGATAATTGATGGCCACAAACAAGATGCCAGGGATTGGGGAATTTTTCAATGGACAGCTGTGTATCACAATGCTGCAGTACAACAAACTACATATTTTTGATATTGATGGCAAAGAAGCTCAGTGCGATAATTTGATTGGTTAGGTCCAGTGGTCACATGCTGAATGTTAGTGTGGCATTCTAGACACCATGATTGATACCACTTGCCCTGAGCAAGACTGCTGCTATTGCCTTTTTTCACCCAGAAACATCAAATGGTGACTTAAAACAAAAAAAACAGGTTTGGTTATAGTATTTGAGCCACATTGGGGCTTAAGATTGCCGGCAGTCACATATGCAATGGTGGATCAACATTTTTCCATTTTTCCAAGATGGGTTGACTGGGACTTGAAAACCAAGAATTTTTTTTAGGGGGGGGGGGGTGGAGTCATCCAACCAAAAAGACCAAAGGCCTGAAACAACAAATTAATATTTTACAGTATTGAGTGATGACATGTTATTCGTGGAATAAAAGGAAATCTGGATTTGTTTTTCATTATGCAAAACATACGTCAGCCAGTGTGTGGGTGAGGGGGGGGGGGGGGTGGGTAGCCACCCGACCCACCCCTTTCCCTGGTTTCGTCATTGCAAATGGGCTGTGAATCACAGCAGTTTCAATTGTAACTTAAGTACACCCTCCTTCAGTAGGACGCACACTACAGATTGACATTGTACAAATCTACTTTGGGAAAACCAGGAACGAGATGTTTCCCTCAATGAACTTGAAGATGGCAAGTCTGTGACTATAAAACAGGGCTGAAATGACCTGCAGTCAACTTGTCCCTCTTGCATGTGTTAGTTATCAACTCATACTTGTTACCGTGTTCATGTACCGGTACTTGTATTTGTGTCAAACTCAAGGTAAAATAATTATTGTGTGTTAAATCAACCACTATTGACTGCTGCTATTTTGCTCAATCATCATTTCTTTAAACAATTTGGAGTGATGTGGGTCACATTTTTGGCACGCAACATGGCTTTCCAAGTGCTGGATAATAAATTATTTCTGGAAACAAATTGTGCAAAAATAATATACACTGCGTACAAACCAATGGGGGTCTTGACAAATATTGACCCAAGTAATAACAAGGCTGACAATGCATGTTTCCATAGGAGGGTTAATTTTAATAATGCTATATACTTTATTGTAGTTACAATGTTTTGAATTCTTCATAAACATATTACACTCAAGTTGGTCGTGAACACAAGATTGGATCGACATTTGTAGTTATGATGTACAAGTTATGAGGCATTGTAATGCATGAGAGTGTAGGTCATCCAGGCAATATTATGCATCAGATTAAATGCAAACATTTGTGTATAAGGGAACAATGTTTACTAGAGCTTCGCGTTTGTTTAGTTACAAACGCAGAGTGGTTGGGCTGGCCTTTTTTCATTAAATACTTCCGAGATAAATATGTTTATATAAGAACAAAGGATCAAAAAAATAAATCCTTTCCAGTACAATTAATTTGTTTAAAAAATCTTCTTAAACGGATTGATAACTTTCAGTAAACATTTTATGAACACATCCAAGTTATTTCTGGCTTAATGACGTCATAAGTCAAAAACAGGAGTGAATACTGATTTAGTTCGGAGTGGATAAATGTTCCTTGTAAAGTTAAATAACTATGAAAATATGGAAAAAATATAAGTGTATGTATTAATAACACCTAACTTCCGGTTTGATGATGTCACAGTATTTGGAAGCAAAATATGAACATTCTAATGATTATCAATATTTGGGCTACGAAGATATTAGACAGGGATCAAATGATAGAATTAAATTGATGATGGTTTTAAATTAAAGAAAGCAAACACTATTTTTTGTGCTGCTAGGGGGCGCCCTTTTGGATGATGACGTCATCACACTGTTGTTGTTTTTTTTGCGTCTGGCATTCCTCACTTAACACTTTCATAATATATGTCTGTAATGAAATGCTTCCGCTTTTGAGTTATATTCAGTTTTTATTGCACTTCCGGTAACACCGGAAGTAAAGGTCAAGCGGTTTTGTGTCCGGGAACAAGAAATGTTTCTCAAGGCATAGTCTACATTCTCACGACAAAAACGAACACGATACTCTATTTAGTTCAAAAGATGTAGCGCAAGCGATTTTGTCAAAATTTGCCCTGAAATCACTTGTAATTTGATACCTGATGACGTCATGATGATGTATTTTTTTTAATAACATCTTGGTAACGTGGTACGGGTTCACACTAAAGTTTTATGATCATACCGTAAACCGTTTGGAAGAAACTTTGCTTTGTTTGATTTCAGGCAAACGGCTTCATTTTGAATTCACCTAACTTTGACCTTCCGGTTGACCCGGAAGTAAAGGTCAAGTGACTTCACGTACACGAAATGAAATGTTTATCAATTAATTGTCTATCTGATTGCAAGGTTGGAACATGATTGATCATTTTGTTCAAGAGTTATATGTGAAAGAAGATCGTCATTTTTTTCAACGAAAATCGCTTGTAATTTGACACCCAATTACGTCATTGTGACATCAGAGTAATATGCACTACTAGGGATGAGGTTCGATATATGTTGAAAGGTACAAGTTCATACCCTATGCCGTTTAGGAGAAAACCCGCGGAGAAGTATTGTCCGGAATAAAAAGAAAGAAAGAACTAGAGGTTCGCGTTTGTTGTTACAAACACAGAGTGGTCAGGCAGACATTTCTTTTCAATAAACACTGCCATGTTAAGTTATGAATATTTTTATGTAAGAACAAAGGATCACGAAATTAAATCCTGTCAGGAACAATCAATTATTTTCTGGTAAAATTCAGTAAACATTCTATGTACACAAGTTATTTCTGGCTTGATGACATCATTATTCAAAACGGGAAGTGAATACTGATTTAGTTCGGAGTGGATAAATGTTCATTGTGAAGTTTAAATGACGTATGAAAGTATGGAAAATATACGTGTATTTATTCATAACAATTAACTTCCAGTTTTATGACGTCACAGTATTTGGCAGCAAAAAGTGAACATTGTAATGGATATCGTAACTTGGGCTACGAAGATATACGACATGAATCGAATTTTAGAATATGGTCGTTTTCAAATTCTCACAGAAGTATAACTTCCGGTCTGATGACGTCATGAATTTGAAACCTTGCAAAGTTATTTTTAGTTAATCAAAGAGTATCAAGGAGCGATTTGGTAAAATTTGAACCGATTGTTTTCAAATTAGAAAGAGCAAACACTGTGGTATGTGCCGCTAGGGGGGCGCCCTTTCGAAAGATGACGTCATCACACTTTTTTTGTTGTCCGGCATTTCTCACTAAACACTTTCATAATTTATATGTGTGTAGTAAAATGCTTCAGCTTTTGAATTACATTCGGTTTTCATTGCCCTTCCGGTAATACCGGAAGTGAAGGTCAAGCGGTTTTGTGTCCGGGAACAAGAAATGTTTCTCACGACGTAGTCTACAACCACACGAAAAAACGAACACGATACTCTATTTTAGTTCAAAAGATATCGCGCAAACTATTTTGTCAAAATTTGCCCTGAAATCGCTTGTAATTTGATCCCTGGTGACGTCATGATGACGTAACAAAATTTATAACATCTTCATAGCATGGTACAAGTTCACATTAGGTTTCTGGGTCATACCGTAAACTGTTAGGAAGAAATTCTGCTTTGTTTTGATTTCAGGCTAAAGTCTTCATTTTAAATTCACCCAACTTTGACCTTCCGGTAGACCCGGAAGTAAAGGTTAAGCGAGTTCACGTACACGACAAAAAAATGTTTATCAATCAAAACATCATATTTTGTTCAAGAGTTATAGGTGAAAGTAATTGATCACTTTTTCAGCTGAAATCGCTTGTAATTTGACACCCGATGACATCATCATGACGTCAGAGTAATATGCACCACTAGGGATGAGGGTCGATATACAAGTTCATTTCATGAACCATTTAGGAGAAAAGCCACGGAGAAGTATTGTCCGGAAAAAAAAGAAAGATTTATCAGAACAAAAACAGAGAGTGGTCGGTTTGCGCCCGACCACTCAACTAGAGATTCGCATTTGTTGAGTTACAAACGCAGAGTGGTCAGGCGGACAGCCTTTTCATTATACACTGCCCAGAAAAGTTACGAATATACGTAGTATATATAGAACAAAGGATCACAAAATTAAATCCCTTCCAGTACAATCAACTATTTTGTTACAAAAATAAACGGTGTAGTAAAATGCTTCTGCTTTTGAGTTATATTCTGATTTTATTGCACCTCCGGTAACACCGGAAGTGAAGGTCAAGCGGTTTTGCGTCCGGGGATAAAAAACGTTTCTCACGGCATAGTGTACAACCTCACGAAATAACACAATACTCTATTTAGTTCAAAAGATATAGCGCAAACTATTTTGTCAAAATTTGCCCTTAAATTGCTTGTAATTTGATACCCGATGACGTCAAGATGACATAACAAAGATAATAGATTTCGAAAGATGATGTCGTCACACTGTTTTAGGTGTCTGACATTCCTCACTTAACACTTTCCTAATTTGTATGTGTGTAATAAAATGCTTCTGCTTTTGAGTTGTATTCAGTTTTTATTGCACTTCCAGTAACACCGGAAGTAAAGGCCGAGCGGTTTTCTGTCCGGAGACAAGAAATGTTTTCACAGCATACAACCTCACGAAAAAAAAGAACACGAAACTCTATTTAGTTCAAAAGATATAGCGCAAACTATTTTGTCAAAAATTGCCTTTAAATCGCTTGTAATTTGATACCTGATCAGAAAAGGACAAACGACTTTGACTTTAAAATCAAAAATGTTTATCAAGGTATGGTCCATCAGATCACAAAGTATGAACGTGATCGTTCATTTTGTTCATGAGTTATAATTGACAGAAAATGTTCATATTTTGACAAAAAATCGCTTGTAATCTGACACCTGATGACGTCATCATTGACGTCAGAGTAATATGCACCACTTGGGATGAGGGTTGATATTGAAAGTTACAAGTTCATATCATAAATCGTCTAGGAGAAAACCCGCAGAGAAGTATTGTCCGGAAAAAAAGAAAAGGAACAAAGATTAATTGGAACAACTCCAAGAAAGAAAGAAGATTTATGAGCGACAAATCCAGACAGTGGTCGGGTTGTGCCCGACCACTCAATTATGTTTAAATAGTTGAAAAAATAGGTACCTTAAGATTGACCCTAAATAACATGTTTCAGTTACAAAATGTTGCTCTCATTGTGAGACCTAATTCCCACTGTAAATTCCACTATGACTTTGACAGCTCTTGCCAGTGATGTGATGGCTTTATTCTCTGCTGGAAATATGTACAGATGAATCCAGGCATGTGATCACTGAACACAAACAAGGCCCCCTTCAATGGAGAAACCATTGTGCACGTATTGTACAGAGCAACTGCCCTGTGACGGATCATCTGAACAAGAGCAAACACAATGCGTTTGCCAAAATGTGGCGGGGCCTCGGTGGCAGAATTGATAGCATGCCCCTATTGGCCTGTGGACAAAGCTGGTCCCAGAGGGCCAGCCTTCAGTTCGCTTTGTACCCATCACACTGACTGACTGACTGACTGACTGTCATTCATTTTGTGAATTCAAGTTACTAAAGCCTCACCTTGGCCCCAAAATTGATATATTGCCTTTGGAATGATTGTTCTTCTGAGTTGAACCACAATTTAATAAACCAAAACAATTTCAGATAAAACTAATAATATGTAAATCTTACATATGTACAGCTTTCCGAAATGACAGTTTAGTTTGAAATACCTTTTTGAAGTAATCCAAAAAATGAAGTCTGTGCCTATTTTTGGTTGTGCATTTAATCTTTGTCACTATGTAGTGCCTTTGTTGAAGAAGTGAATAAAGGGACTTTTAGTCAGTGACTGATCTAATAGCAAACAAAATTCTTAATAACTAAGAACACGAGACGCAACATGAGATTCACAATAAGGTAGCGCTATTTGAAGTGAGTACATGCATCCAAATAGAGCCCTTCTATTGTGTCCACCATACTGCAAAAAGATTTATGACTGGGTTGTTTTTGTTTTGTTACCAAGATGCTTGTCGTCTTGACATCTGAACTTGTGGACAAAATGAAACAGCTTTTAAATAATGTACTTTCCAATATCTATGTTAAAAGATTTTGACTTCCGTTTCAACATGGTCACAGCATGCCTCCGGTACCACTTGTTAACTTCACCACAGCAGATAATTGTGTATAATTGGTTTGAGGGGTTCTCTGTAAGATTTGTAATAGTATTAGTTTTCAAAGTAAATCAATCTTACATATGTACTCTTTCACATTTGTTTGAGTTAAATCAAAATAAGAGGAAAACACTCAGTAAAAGGATAAACTCCAGTAGAATGGTTGTCATTACATTCCAAGACATTCTCTTTATTTTGATGTTCATTGATTGTTCTTGGCATATTTCAGAAATGAAACTTTTGCAGCTTTTGAGATATTAAAAGTAAAATAGTTGGCAACTCTACAGCCTGACATTCACATTATAGATGTAGTCTTGTTCCCTGACCTAACCATCCCCAAAGTAAATAAGGGCTCGGGGGTTCCAGTCCTAGTCCTCCAATTCACAAGCTTAGACGACTATACTGGGTGCAGTGTTAATATTATTCTGCTGGTAAAGGGAAAACTTGATATTAAAATGTACACCCACTTTATCCATGCCATTCAAGTCACAAACCATTTACTCCAATCTGTCAATTGATGTAATTGGATTGAAAGTCATTTGAAGCTTAGCTGACTATTTCAATTTACTAATCAATATTCCCTGTTAATATCGGTATATTAAGTTGAGAGTGGGTAATACTTTTTGTTTTGGAGTTCTCAGATGTGGACAGTCGTCTTCTGGTAGTGACCAATTGTCAATATCAAGGTACAAATAGAATATTTCAGAATGAAGTAAAGAAAAAAAAATAGATCAACTACAAGCTCAGCAGGCGCGGTTCTAGAACCAATATTTTGTGGGGGCTAGCAAGGTGGATCCAGAATTTTTTCAGGGAGGTGTGCTGAAATGTTGACCGGTTATTTTTTTCCAGACACTTAGGCCTCCGAAAATCAATGGGGGGGGGGGGGGGGGGGGGGGGGGCCTCATGCCATATTTTCAATGGGGAGCACCAATAAAATCATAAAATCATTCACACTATATTAACTAATGCACCCTTGTCGACGGCTATTTCTTCTTTAGGGGGAGACCGTTCGCATGTACATCACAATCCTTCTTTTTGCTAATGCAATTTTTTTTTTTTTACGGAATTTATTTCGGGGGGGCTAGACAAAATTTTGGGGGGCTACAGCCCCCCAGCCCCCCGTAGAACCGCGCCTGAAGCTCAGCATCAAAAGTTCACTATACAAAATGTAAAAGGAAAACAAATTATTATGATGTTATTTTTTAATTGTGCCCAGGTTTACATTTTAATAAGGAAATAAACATGAGCTTGGCCGGTTTTAAACCGTCCGTTTAATTTGGAGAATGGATGCTGATAATAGCCCGAGCCAAAGGAGAGGGATATTATTGACAACCGGGCCCCCAGCCGGTCTCAAATGGACTTGTTTAATACCGTCCATGCACATATTTATTCACATTCATATTTATTCACATTCATAAATACCTTTTCAGTCAACGAGTCAAAACAAATAAAACAAACATGTTGTTAAACACCCCTCTAGCTCTTTTATGGTATGTGCCTCTTGCGAGTAGTCGTAAACAACTTCTTATATGGAAATTAATGCGTGCACTGCGTATTGTGCGAGTGGCTCAGAATGCAGCTGTGCCGGTGTAGTGTGAATTTAGGACTATGAAATACGGACTGGTTGGTCGTATTATACAGGCCTAAGTGAGGATTGGATAGGAGTCCAAATTTTATGTGACACTGTAAAACTATTTTAGACCAGCCAGCCAGTGTTTAGACTGTTTAAAACCGGCCATGTGATGGGCTCTCAACCAATAGGAATGGGTAAACTATCTTAGGTATTTATGAATAGGTTTTAAGATGAAAGAATAAAAAACACTGAATATTCAAAAATAGAAGCATGTTCCTGTTCAATGTTTGAAGATTTCTGAAAGCAATCTACACGGGTGAATTGTTATGCTATATATTTTCAATAAATCTTTCAGAATGCAATAAAACAAGCTGTGCTACATATAACCATGTAGCATGGCCACGGTCCATACCGCACTCCGGGTATTGAGCTATTCTAAGATGCAAGCGCCATTCCGTACAACACGCAGGAGTAAGTTCCTATTATGTTTACTTCTTCCAACACAACTTCCAAAGTAGACAATAAATGCTGAAACAACTGTTTTAAAAATAGATTTATTACAGCTATTCAAAGTTTTAATTTTTTTTAACTTTAAAAAGATAAAAACCACAACCAAGGCACTTTTGCTGGAATCAATTTATACACATAGTTGAACCAATTTGTACTAAATTTACATAAACTATCATGATTGTTCAAATTCAACCAACAGTATTTTCCAACATTGACACAAAAGCAAACAAAGCTAACACCCCCTAAAGAAATGTTTAAACCCTTTAAGACATACATGTACATGTACCAGAATACACTTCAACAAAATAGCCAGACCACCTCCCAATCAATACACACTATCAAAGTTTGTAGAAAATCCACATCCATTCTAAACTATCTTATTCAATCAGCTGTGTGAGATATCCAGCACTACTCCAATACATTTTACTTTTGTTTGACTTTCCCACTCTTTACATCAAGTGTACGTTGTACAAAAGTCCACTAAATTCTGTAACACTATATTACTTGAAAAACACAAGGTATGATAATTACTACACTGATTAGTCTGTCAATGATACAATTATACAATGTTTGAATCATAACTAAACAGTCATATCGACACTGTATCGGTATGTGTACACAGGTTTTTAATACATCGTTCTTCACAAGCATATCAAGAAATCAGTCTGGAGATGGGGCTCATGACATGGGGTCACCAATTTGAAAAAAAGGGGAGGGGAATGTTGACAACACGTGACACTGCTGTTTAATGCACATGAGACTGGACACCCTAGGTGGCGCTGTTCATCAGTTGGGGGGGGGGGGGGGCCTAAAGGAAGCAAACCTTGGGATGGGGTTTAAAGAGGGCTGATTAACCTAAAGCAGGAAGGGGGTTTCTGCACACTCAGGACAAGGGTTTGTAGTTCACTATGCAAGAAAGGAATTAAATCGCTGCAGTGTAACCTTGTGATTGTGAGCTTTTCCTGCCAGACATGCCATGAGAGGTTGCAGTTCCCTGACACGAGAAACGCAGACCCTACACGCATAGTAATCAAGTGAGTTTACAATAACGGTTGTCTCTCATGACTTCTGATATGTCATGTCAACAGTCATCAACCAAAGAAATTTCAGAAACTTATTCCATGGCATAACAAGATGTTTTGTTCCACCCTACTTTAAGGGAATGTACATGTACTATAAATTTGATTGTCCTATAAAAGCAATCAGCACTTTCCCGTACTGAAATATGAACAAACGGCCATCAAATAATGAGAAACAGATTCAAAATGAACAAAACCTTATCTTCTTAGGAGAAAGAGGCATTTGGGAAAAGTTTTTAATTTGATAAAGCTAGTCGTTGCTAACTCGGTGTCGCATGACAATTTGCAGTACTGAGTGATTAAGGCTCTAGTCATAGCCATTCACACCACTGATCAGCGTCTTCTTACCCACAGTCTCTATGTGAAATCCCAGTTGATGTAGAAGGCTGTGGTCCAAGATGCGACGACCATCAAAGGCAAATGCAGGCTTCAACATGCTGTCATATACCGCCCGGTAGTCCATGGTCTAGAAAGTACATGTATAGCAACAAACTGATATGGAAGTGGTCCTTGGATTCATATCTGTACATGTATATCTAACTCAGTTAACACCTTGTAAAATGTATGTTCATGAAGCCTTTCAGGTATTTCATCTACATGTAGTATGCATCATTATAAAAAAAAAACCCAGTATTAATATGCCTGTAAGTCAAATCTGACTGAGGATGGGTGCTGTGGGATGAAGGTTTGTCCTGCCATGGTCTGAGAAACATGTGGTCGACCAAACAACATATCACACAAAAACCAAAGAACAGAATGTACATCAGTGATGGAAAGGACGAGAATGCTGGTGACTGAGAGACCCACTACAAGATCTACTTTTGGTCTTAAGTGTTGTTCATTTTGACTTTGTTGATCCAAACATGCCAATGTCATGGCACATACATGTACATAAATACCATCATTTTACACTATCACTTATTCAGGTACTAGTGTGTGAAGCTGGACTTAGGACTTGGGCCAAACCCAAAAAATAGTGTTTACAGTAACTTACGGCCTGAAAAAAAATCCAGGTAGGTAGGTAAGGAAATAATTTTATTTTGTATTTTATTTTTTTTCATTGCAGTTCTGCATGCCCATGCGTGTTCTTTCGCAAAAAAAATTGTATAAAAACATTATTCAAGCATTCAAGATATTTAATAGATATATTTCATTCCAAATTAATTCGTATCGTCCCAGGGTTCTCCAGCTCCCCAAGATTTTTTCAAACCTGTGAGGGAAGATTTGCTGTGATTCAACAACCCGAAAATTTTGAACTTTTTTTTGTGAAAATTTTAGAAGCTCTCTGGTACATTTTAGACAAATCTGAGGGTCTTTAACTTAAGATTTGTCCTTCAAATTCAGAGGAGATCTTGCAGGTCCCTAATATTTTTGTAATTAAAGAAAAAAAAAAATCAAAATTGTTAACTTAAAAAAAATCAACATTTCACAACCTGTGTTTAACTGCTTCCTAAACTAGAAAAGTATTTTACCAAATAATTTTTCATGGATGAGGTCATCTTTTATTGTATCACATTATTTGTTCTGTAACGCACCACCCACAGATTTTCCTTTTTATTTTCCAAGACATCTGATTACTGAAATCCAGTCCAATTGTTCGTCAATTTCAATTCGAAATTGGTTTAAAGTTTGCCATTTTTCAAAGTACTCCGTCACTTTATGAAATGTTTATTACCTAACAGGGTGTGGGAACCATACATGCAACACACACACACACACGTGTGTAAATGCCAGCAATCATGGACGCCCCATTGTCCCTAATCCTCTTTCCTTTGTTTGTACTAACTTTTTGGCGACAGCTCTCATTGGTTTTGTACACGATTTGAGATCGTGGACGTTCGGTCAATCGTGGACGTATTGTTTGCGCCCCAATTCTTTTGTCCTACGTCCACGATTGCCAGTGTTTACATACTCACCCACACACGCGCTTACATAGGCATAGAAGTGGGGTACTTCCTTCGTTCTGGTGTACTAAAATTTTGCAACGTCGCACACTTATGTCAAAATGCTCTTATTTTAACCACAGTTAATTTCCTGGGCTGAAATTCGGACTTAATATCCCTTTTCTAAAACTCTTCCATTTGCGACGGATCAACCCACCTTGGAAATTCCTAGTTTTTGAGTAAAATCCATTTATTTCGTGAAAAACTTGTGGGGTACCAAAATGGTACCCGCAAGTCAGTGGGCATTCCTTGTGGGGTACCTCCCATTGTTCCGGTACCCCACAAGGCAGTGTTTGTACACGCACATGCATGGGCGACTAGACCTGTGGTTGCTATGTGTAAAGTACCTTTTTAGAGTGAGACTGCCATTGTATAGGCTTGTTACAATAAATATACAAATTGTTTTAGGATTCTAAATACCTTGAATTCATCCCATTCGGTGCAAACAGCAAAGGCATGGGTTCCTTTGATGGCCTCATAGGGATTGCTGAATACAGTTACAAGGCGATCCACTAAAAAAAAACAAAAAAAACATGACATAACCAAAATCCCACTTTGTTTTAGCCACTATGAACTGTACCTCGTATCGTGTTGCTAAGGGTCATCAGATGGTTTGCCTATAGCTTCACTGCCTTCAGAAAGTCTTCTTTCTGCTACATTAAACCACGGATCCTACACACATGGGTTAACGACTCAGCCAAACTCCTGGTTAGACACGTGGTAATGGCCCGTACAGGTGGCAATTACCATCAATATTTGTCAACAAAGACCCAGACAGCTTAATCACTTCACTGCGCGCGGTGGCTTTCAAATTTGCAGGGCTCTGCACTCGATCTGGTGTCGAATTCTGTCCAGCCAGCTAATTATATTTTCGAATATTCATGATCCTACGTTTTTGGTCTTTATTATTATATTCTGATAAGTGATAACTACATAACCATGTTAACGCCAAGCACAATATCTTTAGCTTTAAAATAAACTATGAAATGTCGCATTTGTTACATCGGTTCGGGACCACATCTCTCTTAAACGTTTTGATGAAAGCCTCATTAAAAACCAGATTTGGGTATTACCCAAATCTCATTTATAATGAGGCTTTTATCAAAAAGTTTAAAACAGTGTTCTCCTCGAAAAAGGTGTCACATTTGACGTGGGATTTACTCTGCAATGTTCCCATGCAAAAGGATACGGCTAAAAAAGACGGAATTCTAGATACCGGTAACAAACAAACAAAAGGTTTGAATCCGTGCATTTAATTGTGGAAGCACTCCAGACAGCTGTTTCTTTTCTCATACAGCATTGATATTCATAAGGCTGACCTTTCTCTGGGTCATCACAGATGCTTGGATGCTTAAGCTCACTCAGGATCTGGTCGGGGTCAACCTGGGGGTCATAGATGTTCAGTCTGGCACCCTCTTCCATCAGGTGTTTACTGACGTAGATACTGGAGGATTCCCTACAATCCAAGAAATTAATCCCAGCATCTTTAGAGAAGGACGTCTTATACAAAATATATTCATGTTAAAAATCAACTCAGTGAAAGTTTGCATTAGGATAACACTTGTTTTCGTTCTGAGCACCATTTTGGGACTTTTTTCAAATCCGATGGACTTCAAACCTGACACACACTTAGACCACCATCTGAAGATTCAGGCCGAATCATGACGTCATGATTACATCATCATGTGTCACGTAACGTCATCCTAAAAATGCATATTTTAAGGCGCTATTTCTACAGAACAAGAAGTCCGATGTGGTTGAAACTCAGTATGCATGTATTCAGGGACGTGTTATAGAAAAAAATTGCAGTAACGTCATGATGACGTCATCATGTGATTTTATATTAACTGAGAGACCGATTGAGCGATATTGTGGTTTAAGACCCTGTTCTGACACAGACCGAAAATAGACATTCATTTTATGGACTCACATAGAATTCAAGCAATGCTGGAAAGCAACAGGAATGTTGTGGAAAAAAGGCTTTTTTTTTTGTTAAACTGATTTTGAGGGAAATTATTGGGTAAAACGACAACATAGTGGGTTCACAACATACATTAGAATAACTGACTGCCTACAAGTTTCTGTTTGCTTCCCTCATTGATCCAACTTTTCATTCTGAGCACTCTTGTACTAAACATTGTCCAAGAAAATGCCACTTTTTAATTAATTCGGAGAGAAATGCTTATTTGTTTGTAGTTGATATGGTAGTGGGAAAAAAATCATGACCAAAAAAGGGGGAGTAAAGACAAAGTGACTGAGCTATAAACATTTTTTTTAGTCTTTGGAAATTAATCTTCAATGATTGAACAACGTACAAAAAAGGATGTCAGCCACGAACAACAAACACAAATTGTTTGTCTTTCTTTTTTGCTGTCTAATCTACTTTAGGATTACTTACATTTCTGTTGTCCATAAGAGACCCTATATCTCACCTAGTGTCCCCAGTATCCTTCTTGAAAGCAAAGCCCAAGATTGCTATTTTCTTGTCTGTCACCGTGTTGAACAAACAGTTGATGATCTTGCTGGCAAAACGACGTCGCTGATAGTCATTCATGGATATAACCTGAAAATACCAGACAAATAAAGACATGGTCATGGATAGAATGAGGATGTCACCCAGGTGGATCCGGAATCCAATCTGGAATCAGGTGACTAGGCACCAAGTTATCTTTAGATGATTGGACTCAATCCAAGCACCTATTGGAATCGTTTGAATTCTTCACGGTTATTTTCTTCATATTCTTTGTTTTTCGCAAGCTTTGAGGTTTTGGTATATCCGAAACTCCAGAGACTTTGCACATGATATCGCTATAAGGCACTTTGGTCACTCTTTAACATTACTCTATTGATCAAACTTGATCTAAACAAAGACCACATAGAAGAGCATGATGTCAACTATGACTTCATCATACAATGCAAGTCATGTGACGTCATCTGAAAGGAGCACTTTTTAGGGTTCTATTTTTAGAAAACTAAAAATGTGATTGGTTCAAATAACATATCTATATGGGTAGATACATGTTACATGTATATGTAAAAATGAGGGTATGTAAACATGAAAAATACATGCTACATGCTACATTCTGTTTGTAACAGCTGAGGTTGGTCATTACATGACAGCTGGATGGTGCAGTATGGATGGTGCAGTTTCACAAAATGTCCCAATCCCATTCGCAGTGTTAACTTTCAATAGCAATGTACAAAATTTCAATTTCCATTTACCAAAAAGTAGAAATGTATACCTGAACTATGCAAGTCAACGCTTTCAGGCTAGCAGTAGCAATGGTCAGTCTCCTACAAATATCTGTTCGCGACACTGGACAACTTTGAACATGGGCAATTCCATGCAAAAGTGGACACAGCTGAATGTGTTGAAAATTCATGAAATCTATAGAACTACAAGCATCACAAACTCAAATGTGATATCAAATAAAAGGGGGCAATACCTTTTATTTGAGTGGTGCGCCAATGAGATGGAATGTGGCGACATGAATTTTAAGCACCCTGAAAAAGTATTTTTCGGGGTGCTAAAATTATGGACTTTAGGGTAGTCATTTTGGCAATTTTTTTTCGCATGCAAAATGCAAGTGTTATTGTGAGCTTTTGTTTATAAGGCAGAGACAAAGGTTCCTATTTTATAAAAAATAACACACAGAACTTACCATGATTCAGTGTGTTTTTTCACATGTGTAAAATCGATTTCAGACATTTAACATCCGTAACGTTGTCATGTAACATCAGCAACAACAATAGCGTGATGTTTCCATAACATTGGACTTTTTCATAATAAGGACTTTTTTTGTAAAATGTCATTGATGTTTGTTAAGAGTTCAGCTATTTCTACCACAACATACTTATTTCAGTCCAGTGGCTTAAGGAAAACATCGTGACCTGCCGGATTAAAGCGACAAATTTGGTACACTTACTGTGTAGGTCCCAAGAAGTCATTCTAAGTCTATTCTAGAATAGCCAAATAATCTCCGTAAGTTGCCGAGATTTATGATGATACAAAGCTATTGATGAGGAAAGATTGTAATCGTGCAGTGCATTCTCTTCAGTTTTAAGGACACAGAATTATGAATGAAAATAATGTAAATCAGAAAATAAACTCTTATGAAAAGAACATAACAGTTTAAAGAGCGTACCGGTAGTATGCAGTACTGACCTTTCTCGACACAAATACAAGTCATGCATGTATACCTTCCACACTGTTAATCAAACATGGGTAACTACATGTACATGTAATATGACCAAGCCATTACACTGGACCAAGATTAGAATACTGGAAACTGATTGTACACCTTCATGTCATCGCATGTCCCGGCTTCTGATCGAGTCGCCTAATTTCTGCCCATTAACCATGACATGTGTTCCATCCAAATCCATTTCCACGGATTCGTAACCCGAGGATCGGTCTTGTCAATGTCCGTATCAAACTCCGAACCTCTTTGGATAATAACACATTTGTGTTGCACTGACATCTTGCGGAATTAATAATGTCAAAATACGTTCAAACATTTGAAACGACACACTAACGTACGTATCAGCGTGCAGCGGAATACATGCAGCAGGATGCATGCATGCAATGAAATGCACACATGAACTTTGCCCCGCATGATGCCCTCTACCGGCGCGGCACGGCGACAATTTACTAGTCTTATTTCAAGGCTTTATATTTGCAACAAGACGATTTTTACAGCGAGTTATTGTGGAGATCATCGCGTGTCAACACATGCATAGACACAGGAACGGCCGCAAAGAGTCCCAACGCGCTTCATGGCGCATGTGTGAATATTCATATTTATCTGCAGCCAATCACAGCGCAATCACTGTTGGTTCCCCGGATGCTGTGTACATGCTGTGTACAATACATTGTACACACGCGGCTTCGAGCTGAAAAATGCATGCACATGGCATCGTATACATGTAGTACACACGTACGTACATGTACGTACAATGTACATGTACATTGAATACTCGCTTGCACGCACCCCAGAGCTACCGTGACGTGTATGTTGTACTTGAGAGCGGATCGCGTGCGTTCGGCGGCGGCGGAAAATAAAATAAACGGAAATAAAATCAATGCTTACGCGCGGGCGAAAAAGCGGGGGGAAATCTGGACCATCGGAAGAAAAAATGCGGAAAACAACATGTGGCACGCTGAACAAAAAAGCGGAAATCCGCTAAATAGCGGAGATTTCACACCCCTGTTATACACATAATTTTATCAGATAAGCTGATTTATTTTATCAGATTTTTTAGCAACGCGCACCACCATTTTCAAACGGAACATAAATAAGAGGTGAAAATGAAGCAAACTTCGAGGTGACTATCCAGCTTGAAATTGCATATTGAATTTTGTTGGAGACATACTAACTTCTGGTCAAAAATGTTACTTTTACGGACATAAAAATGCAAGTTTGTGCACAAACCTACGGGAATTTAAGTGCGCGTAACGCAAGTTTTGACCCACGCACTACTGCGCGTAGAGCGTCCATGACGGAACGGGAAAATGTGTGCACACTCTATGGCGCGTCTGTACGCACTGCCGATCTAGTCTTTTTATTCTATATCTATGATCTGGCCCTGCTGCGCCATGTTCCAGCGTGACATAGTACGTTTGGACCAACCCAATTGCGATGAAGGGTGTGCTTTCCTCGGCAAAATTCACCAGCATTTTCAGTTTTTTCACTGTATCAGAATTTTAAAAAATACTATTTATGGAGTCTGAAAACTTTCTCATGTTCAGAATAAGTTTGTAGTTTTCGCACAATATTTCGACCGTTGACAACAATTTCGACTGTTGACGACCGTTGACGCTTGTTGATGCAGTTTAGTAGGACCCCTCACGGTACATCGCGCGGTGATCGCCATCTTTATTTTCGGGTTGCGTGTTGTGTCGCCGCGCTATCATCGTCATTTTACCCCCAAATTTCCCTTTAAAAAAATCAAAACCCTGCCCTCTATCTATGACATACCTGTTTATTGAGAACCGACTAGTTTGGTCTGTCTAATAATTTTAAAGTGGATTTTGGCCCTACACTACACGATCGCCAATTTTATCATAGTTGCCGGGCCAGATAGGGCTGCGATAGGTAACATGGTAGCAATTTACGATGCTCATTTCTCAATGTCGTCAAGTCAAATTATAATGGAATTTTGTTTACACAACAAAAATAAGATTCATCCTTCAACTTGTGTTGCACAGTACACATGGGTTTGTTCGAACAGGGGAACGGCCTATGTTTTTCATTGTAGCCCAATACGTACATGTATATTATGTATGCACTTCCGAAGCCGAACCGAACCGAAGTTCGGAGAAATAAAATAGAACCGCAACCGAACTGAACCGAACCGAACCGAACCGAACCAAATTTTGAGCAGCTCTATCTACCGGTAGTTTCAATCTGAACACGTGCCACTCCCTATTCAAATAACCTGCCCTGAGCCACTGAACTGTGCATCGTTTACATATATTCAGTCTAATTTGCACCAGTACAATAAATCAAAATTTATTTTCAGCCTTAAAAAAGAGAGGTATGCTCTATTGAATAAAATTTAGTCCATTTTGGTGTTAACCTTTTGGTTAGCTTGAGGGTCAATTTCATGCTATTTTTCTGTTACCTGTTGCCAGTATGCAGCCACATGAGGTAGGTTCAGAGCCTCACATAAGTACACCAAATTGAAGACGTCCTTTTGGAAACAGCTACCACCAAATCCTGCAGGTAAGTAAAGCTTAAAGTAAATGTTCTATTTATGCTACATGTACTTAATGATCCATACCATATTAGTCTCATCAAGGCAGTGTTCTCAACATGGGGTTTTGGGAGGGCAGGCTTTCCAGCTAAAATGCCGCCTGCAACATTGTTTTACCACCCTGCTATTTTTTCACATCACTCACTCCACATGCGTGAAATCATGAAGAACAAAGCACTGCTGCTACAATGTTTCATCTTGTCCATATTTCGTCTTTTGAATGGAGTGGCAAAATGTTTATATATTGGACACTTTGCCAAAAAAAAGCAATTAAAAAAGATATGCAATGTGACCTTAACCTCTTAACTGTACACTTACATACATGACCCGAGCCAGGAATTGAACCCAGGCCACAGCATTGAGAGGAGAGCGCTTTACCCACTGTGCTACCCATGCCATCTGTAACATTCCCAATAACATGATCACTACTTGGAGCTTACCCAGACTAGCCTGCAAGAATTTTGGTCCTATGCGTGAGTCTTTTCCAACTGCATGTGCAACCTCAGATACATCAGCCCCTGTTGCTTCACAGATGGCACTCATTGCATTGATACTAGAGATGCGTTGAGCTAGAAAGGCATTAGCAGCCTACAGAAACAGGAGAGACAAACAGGTACAGGGTGTAATGCAGACCTGCCAACCTTTGGGATCGAAAAACTGTATTCTGAATCTCCAAAAGTTGTATTTTTCATAAAAAACTGTATTTTTCAAAAAATATGCATAGATGGGCTATACGAACAAATAAATGTGGCTGCAATGCTCCATTTTAATACATCTTAATTAAAGTTATAAAAAAAAAGACCAGAGGTCTCCCTGCGGGTGGTAAACCCAATCAAACAATTTGCATGAATAAGGATATTGATCATATACCTTATTCATAAACAAACTACTTTAAAAACTATTCAATGCAAGTCTACCTAAACATAAACTAAAGACTAGACTTTCTCCTGTGCACGCACATTGTGACTACCGTACACGAACATCAAAATGTATTCTGTGTATCATGCGTGCACTGAGAGAAAGAAAGTCTGTTGACAGCACGTAAGATCTGCCGGACGTACTTCTACTGGTATGTGTGTGTACGAATACAGACATTTTTTTTTCGGCGGGGTGCCGCTGCTTGAAGTATTGGCACTGAAGTATTGGTTTGTGATACTGTGTACATAATGTACATCGAACAGTGTGAATCGCGAAACCAGATTCAGTTCGTGCATGAATAACATCGTTTGCTTGGCTGCTTGCAATTTACGTTGTTTCAGCCAATTTTATCCGGCAGAAATCTACACTCACAGCCGCTTTGAACTAGGATTTTTCCAGGCATGTCAAATTGGTCAAAACCCGTATTTTATGGGGGAAAAACGTACACTCGTATTTTCAACAAATTCCTGTACGAAATACGGCAGAATCGTACTAGTTGGCAGGTCTGGTAATGGAGTAGTCTTCTAAAACTAAGGATTTGAAGATTATCAGTATGTTGTGGGTTATCAGCTTGCCATGATTGATACCTTATTCGTACCCTTGGAAGCCATGGATAATCTCAGTGAGCACCACTGATACCATCACTGATACATGTAAGCTCAAAGTCTTTCATTTGCCAAATTAGTCTGATTTTGTGGTTGCATGAGCTGTCCGTGTGGGCAATAACTTTACTACATGTGGCATTACACTTTTTTGGCATTCTTTTGACATTGTGAGTGTTGTGGTCTTCACACTAATTAACAATGAGTTTCTTTTTTTTGCATAAACATACCCAATATTCAAGGCTTTCCCCTGATGTCAACAAAAGTTGTGCGTTCCCTCATTTGAGCATGGCACTCTTTAGAAATGTGGTTACTTTCGTTACACAAAAAGGATATATGCAAAAACATGTTTTTGTTTTAATTCAAAACTTTCCTAAGAGTGGAACTGCAATAGGCAAACGAATATTTCTTACAAGATGTCTAGCATATAAACCCTAACCCTGCCAGACGCAACACGGTGCATCAGGTGGAAAAGTCTGGTGCACTTTGATGCATTCAGCTACCAACACCAGTGCATAAACGGTCAATTCTGAGACAATGAGAGCTAGTCCCATAGAACAATGCCACAGTTGCATCCTGCTGCATTCGGTGACCACAGACTCTGAGGCAGTTTGGCCTGATGGATCTTGCTACACTGGGCAGACTTGTCACACAGACAAGTGTTGAGTGCTGCTGCGTTTGGCAGGGTTTCTAGCCAAAATACCCTAGATGGAGGGTTTTAGCTCAATATAACAGTTACTTTAAAGTTTTAAAGTTTGATAATTTTACCCGGGCATATTTTGATAAGTTTCGTGCAGTAAAACTGTATGACGACATTTTGTTTGAGCGCCTTCGTGTTCGTATACTGTGTCTGTACATTATGGGCATGCCCTGTAGTGTGAGATTTTTTGAAAAGAAATTTATTTATTTATTTTATTTCTTGCTCGCTGCCTGATCGGAGCACCTGAAAAATCCGTATTCCAAGTACTTCAAAAAAAAATTGGCCTGAGCATGCTATAATACGGTCTTATATAAAACACATGCTGTTGTAGCTAACCAAACACTTGCCAACTGCAATGGTGGCAGATCACAGGGAAACCCAATGGTCACATGATACCTCCACATCATATGATCAGAACCTATTAACGGTAAGCATAATATAAGCATGGCAATTCAAGTCACTGTTCAGATAATAGCCACTGAAATGAGAACTCACCAATTTGGATAGTTCTGATGACCAGGTATTGGTGAGTATAATCTTGTCTTTGTTAATCCAGTGTTCGTAGACGCTAGCCAGGTCTTTCATAGCTTGACGCCCAGACTTAGACTCGTCTCCACCAATCAGTACCCTGTCTGGATTCAAAAGGTCCTTGATAGCAGTGCCTTCGGCAAGGAACTCCGGATTAGAAAGTACCTATAAAATAACAAGACAAGGCAAACATTCTATTTTTTAATAATACAAGCTTCTAAAGCACTGGAACCTTGTTAGAAACCTATTCACTGCGCAAGCCTAGTTAAGTGAACAAAGTTCAAGAGGTTGTTGATAGCAGTGCCTTCAGCAAACAACTTTGACATGAAAGTATTATTAGCATACATGTATATGCCCAAAACATTCTTGACATTGATTTTAAAGTCTCAGGTTAAATGGTTAACACAAAGAACACTGAATTTTGGGACATCCATTTTAACATCTGACTGCTCATACGTATTTCTTCACAGTAGATTCCTGGAATAGTGGTCTTCTATAACTAAATTTGATTCTAAAGTTTCAAATGAACCACAAAGGGAAACTGACTAGGTGAATTAAATAACAATTTTTGAAAAGTTGAACAAAAAAGTTGACTGTAGCGGGGCTTGAACCTACGACCTTGGGATAACTATTCTGGTGCTCTATCAACAGAACATCTTATTTTTTTGAAGTAGGTACCCAGTATGTAATTGTTGAGGATCGCTAGCATCTTTGCATGTACAGGTATATAAGTACAGTACAGTGCAATTGAAACCTAACACTGCGAAATGGAATGGGAAAATTTGTGAAAAAAATTCGCATTCGCATTCGCAGTATGATTTCGCATTTTGAGCGTGACTTTTACCCCTTGCGAATTCGCAGTGAAAATGTGCGAATGCAGTGCGAAAACGGCGCGAACGCGGTGCGAAAAATTTGCAAATGCGGACGTTTTGCGAAAACGGTGCGAATATTTTGCGAACGCATTGCGAAAAAAACTGCGAACGCATTCCGAAAACGGTGCAAACACGTTGTGAAAAAAACTGCGAACGCGGTCCAAAAAAAATTGTGAACGCCGAGGGAAAAATTGGTGAGTACAAAATCAATGTGCGAAAAATGTGCGAAAGGGGACGCGAAAACGTTGCGAAATCGATGTGATGAAAGTACATGTAGCTGCCGGTACCTACCTCGTGGTGTGTTGCACCATGGTTGCAAGTACATGTATACAGAACGTACATACAGAGCTGCTTGATGTATGAAAACACGTGGGCCTGTACGTGCTATTGCAGCAGTGACTGGTTCCCGCTGTGCCGCGCACTGGCAAGATGGAAATGCGGTAACCAGTCAATGCAATAGTCGCGCGCAGTACCTGCATGTACACTACAGTACAGTTGCATGCAGGCCGGACGGCGCGGAATAGACATCGTGAAAATGCCTAGAAAACATCGATGGAGAAAGACGATCTTTGCAAGCTTATACTCACAGAACTTGATCTCTCTTGTCTGTGTATTTCCCGTGTTCGTGAATTATTTCGAGGAAATACTACTGGTATATGAAGTGAAACGATGCAGCGAGTTTCACCGAAATCACATACCGATAAACGAAGCTCAATGCCGGCTCACTGCCGGTCCACAACACACAGTGCATCATCGCACATTCGTACCAAGCGAAGTTCAGACATTGTTAGCCAGTTTCTCGTCGTAACTAGCATTGTGCATATGGTATAAATGACCTGCATTTTCCATTATTTTTAAGATTATCGACGGCAGATATTTTCGTTAACACTTAAGGCAAGTTTTTGTCATTTTTGAGGCCCTTTTTGTATAGCTTTCGTATTGCAATGGAAATAGTTCAGGCTGAACATTTTCATATAATTTTAACGGATCTGAAAACAAGTATTCAGTTGCTTTATCATGTTTATGTGCCGTTTATTAACTCCATTTTCCAAGATTAATTAATAGATGAACCAACTGACAACTGTATTGAAAATTTGAAAGCATAGCAGAATTCAAACCTTTTATTAATCTCCATTTAGATATTTTTTTAATATAAATTTTACCTGTCTTACAGTTACAAAAACGAAAGAAGTTAAGCCACATGAGCATATTATGCAAAAACTAATAATAATTGCAGCCCCTTGAATAAATCCTTATATTCAAAACAAAACAAAAACAATGTTTACCGTCGTTTATCCATGGATTTTTAATCCATTTGCTCTCCTCAAAGATTTGGGGAAAAAAGCATTTATAGCTCTCCTGGATTTTCTTTAAATGAAGGACTGCTGTGCCCCTGCAAGAGAATTAGACTAATTTTCCAGTGAACTAGCCAAGTGCACACACAAAACGGGCGACTCGTAAATACATGTAGTATTTTGTTGTCTTCCTGTCAAATACATGTAGTGCAAAATGTTGGGTTTTTTTTTTACTTGTTTATGACACAGGTCTTGTAAAAATAGTTCAGGTCCAGTAAGATTTTTCGGTTACTAGACCTGCTGTCTAGTGCTTTTTTTCCATGAAATTCGAGCCCTGTTTAATCATACACGCGTCGTGAAAATTTTTTCCACTGCAGTGTTCCCACTACGGTGCCCAGATTTCAAATTCAGATATCGTTTACCATCAAACAGTCAGTGATATACATGTACATGTAATATCGATACATCATCATGCCGTCCAACAAGAGAGTTAAAAAAAAGCACGAAGAAGAAATGGCTGAAGCGGCAGCTGAGTGCCAGCATTTGGACACTAGTTTTGAAAGTTAAAGTTTAAACACCATTAGGCCCAAAAAAAAAGTATGGAGCTTGGAGCTTGCCCAAAAAGTGGTGCGGCGACGAGGCTTTTTTTTTTTTTTACCTGATTTTTTTGCTTCAAATGTCGGCTGATGACTGCAAAATGGTGTCCGACTAAACTTAGTGCAAATATATGGGAGTCCAGAGAGGCCACATAAAGCTTATTCTCGACCATAACCCAATCTAAAAACACGTTAAAATTGTGCAGCAGCAGGATTCCAGTCAAACCAGTGAGACATCATCTTTCATTGAAAAAAAACCTTTTTCATTTTGCCGACGCGCATGGCTACGGCGACGCGCGCGCATACCAGAAACCGGAGACTTTTTTTTTTTGGCCTTATAAGTCGTCAACAGATAAAATGAACAACGACGCGACTTTCAAGTTCGGGAAACAAGTCCACGTACGGACGCCACCACAGCCCTGCTGTACAAAGACAGAAAAAGTCTTGTATTTTTCCCCTCCTAAATCAGTGTTTCTTCATCAGATTTTCAACTTTTGGTATAACAATTTCGGAATCAAGATAATTTAGCTGTTCTGCGTTCAATGCTGGTTTCCGACCGCCACCATAGCCAGACTTGAATTGACCAGTTGCCTCATATTTTCGCCAAAACCTAGAAATGGATTGCCTTGAAATTTTTATGCCGTCTTCCTCTAGCAATCTCCTTCGAATTTCAGCAAACGAAAGAACACATTTCTGTTTTAGATTGATGATCTGCTGTTTTCCATACTGGGAGATACGCATTTTGAGGACCATGAGAACATATCCATGCACATGTAATTTCAGTTTTGAGAGGTGTGAAAAATGTTTCCCACTTGTGTGAAAAAGGTGTAAAAATTTTTCCCACTTGTGTGAAAAAGGTGTGAAAATTTTTCACACTTGTGTGAAAAAGGTGTGAAAAATTTTCCCACTTGTGTGAAAAAGGTGTGAAAATGTTTCCCACTTGTGTGAAAAAGGTGCGAAAATTTTTCCCACTTTGTTGAAAAAAGTGTGAAAAATTTTCACACTAAGGGGAAAACTTTTCACATTTTGTGTAATGAATATTCAGTTCTTGAGAGGGGAAAAAGTGTGAAAATTTTCCCCCCTTTCAGGGTTAACTTTCAATTGCACTGTACTGTACTGTGTAGCTACACCTATAGCTACCGGTTATCCTACTGTTGACGGTCGTATCCTGGCAACCCAGTACACATGGGGTGGCACAGAGTACAAAAGAACAGACCACCTTACTTTATCTTCAACAAAGGCATAAAGCATTAGTCCACAGAAATGTTACAGATGAGTGCAGATCATAATGGTCTGTGCTTGCTGGCAGTCAAATTATACATGTTTGAATTAATCAACTGTTTAATAGATGAATAAACTGGGCATTAAATTTGCTGTCGAATATTAACCAAAAGCAATCCCAGCCATTGTTTGAGTATTAAAACGATTATGATTGCTAACAATCAAATGGAAGAGAAATAGAGACTTGAACACTATATTTTCACATGTGATTGCGATTTCTAAAAGAAGCAAATGTATGAAAGAAAATAAATAATGGAACTACAAGTAGGCCCTATAGTTTTAGTTACTTGTGTTGTTTTGCAATGACAACATCAAAAATACGGCTTGCCTTCTTGTGTTGGCGCATGGTACAGGATGAGTAAAAAAAACGAAAAACCCAACTGTCTGGACCATTTTTTGTGTGTGAAGTTCTGCATACATCTAAGATATCTAATTCACATAGGGATGTATGTGAATTGTTTTCATTTCCATAAGGTGAAAAGTGCATGAGTGATTTGAATGATTCGTGTACTTGTCAGGGTGAGTTTTAATCACCCTGTGGTTAATGTCTTTTAAAGTATCAAAAAAACAAACCAAGATACAGGCCTATAGGTACTATTTGCTATTTCAACATTGCAAGGTTTTGCAACACGTTTCGTCAGCGGACAGAAAGTAGAATTAATACGGCTTTCTGCGTTTTGTGTAGTATGCGACAGATTTATCACGCCGTTTTGCCAGCAGACAGAATGCAGTATTTATAAGGCTTTCCGTGTCTCATGTATTATACTACGGACGTCACACTGTTTAGTATGGAACACTGTATTTATAAGACTTTCCCGTCTCACGTTTATTCATACGACGTGTCATCTCAGCAACAATAGCGTCTGGTCAGGCTAGTCCATTAAATCACGATATGCCTGAGTGTGCACAGCTGTGCGGTTTGCAAACTTTCCTGTCATTGACAACGCCAGACTCATCGTTAAATATGAAGACTTCTTGCGTAAGAACACTTCGGACCAAACAGTAAGCCGTATAAGTTGGAACACAAAAAGAAGTTCATTGTAGGAATAGGGGCAGAGGTTGGAAAGTGTAAGTGTTATGGCAAGGATGAGGACTATTGGATTGGGACTTGATTGGCACACTGACATGGCAGGTCTTAGGTATGGTTACATGTCTATTTAAATTATCAAATCACCAATGTATGGGAAAAATTTGCCAAAAATTTGCCGGTGTTTACTCATTCACAGACAGACAGTTGTGAATTTATATGCCCGAGGACGATGCTTGGTATTTCCCCTTGTCCCTGTAATATAACACTCTCCCACAGACTTAGCACATAACCGTTCAGTCAAGGACTGTTTTCAACAAAAGACCCAATGCTCTGAGGACCTTTGTGAGTCTGTCCTCTATCGTAAAGCTATGTATGTAGACACACAGACTGATTACACTTACAATATCCTTCTTTCTGGCTTAAAAGCCAGGGGGATAAAAACAGGATATCGACTTAAGAGGGGAGGATTTTTAGATGCGCGTGGCATATTTAACAGTGCTCATTTGAACTGCTCTTCAATCCTCTCCTCCCTGCCCATGGTCACGCTATTTTTCTGGACATCACTTTGTGAAATTAAAATGTATGGCACTTAGGAACACGTAAGTTTGTTATATTTGCCTCACCTCAAACGAGCAACCAGACTTCTTGTTGGCTTGAAGGATGCACTGTATACTCTCAGCTGCTTTGACTGGCACTGTGCTCTTCTCTACAACAATCTTATTCCCCACAGTGGTAATTTTAGCAATTCTTCTGGCTGCTGCCTCTATGTATTTCAGGTCTGGTGCCCGCCCCTGTCAGGGAGGAAACTACACAATGTTAAGACGGATTTGTTTTTTTTGTAAATGGCTACTTGAACATTTTGACAAATATAAGCTGAGGCTTTGCATCGTATACGGTATAACTTTGGAATTGGCTGTGGAGGTACCATATAAAATGACTCTCAAAGAGTGAGATTGTTCACCTAAACTAGGTATTTACCTCAACATTTTAGTCAGTAAATGTCAAATAAGTTTACAAATATGTATTATACACAGAAAATAAAATATTCATAAAAGTGGATTAAACAGTTTTCTGTAGTTCTGGCACAGGCAGTTACATGTAGGTAAAACAAAAGAAAAACAGGAAGATAGGTTACCTTGCCTATACCAAATGTCTTTGTTGGTGTGTTAACAGAGATGAAGATAAGGTCAGCCTCTCGAATGGCACCATCAATGTCAGTGGAGAAGAAAAGGTTTCTCCCCCGACACTCCTGCACAATGTCCTTCAGAGCTGGCTGTCAAGTAGAATTCAATTCATAGTTCTTAATTTTGATGTTTTACCCCAGTGTGATGGGGCCTTGAACCTGCCAGAAGTGTACATCTATGTATGTATGCATGTACTGCGATTCAGCCTGGAGCTATTGGACTTTAACTTGCCACATGCATCCAGAACTTTGCTCATTATTCATGTTATTCTACGATACTGTATTGACATTTTGTCTGTCCAGTAATGTTAATCCGAATTCTGAAAATCGAGGCATGTACATGTATTCATAAAAATAATATCACACAGACTGCTGTTGGCAATGTATAGACCTTGTACAATGTACATGCTCAGAGGGTGGTCATTACTTTCATTTTGTTACAATGCATGCACAAAAGGTTTACTGCATATATCCCAGTGACACAAAACCATTGCCCTCTAACTCTGCCTGAATGCATTAGGTCTATTGGGCATACTCTGACACCAATAGTTGGGCCTTGTTTGTGAATTATACAAAGATATTCATGAGCGTTTCAGACATCAACAAGAGACAACCAATAACTCCAACTGTTCCTATTTGTAACACTAACATGTTCTTTTTTCTTTAGGTCAAATAATAATATAATATTCAATATATTGTCACATTTATAATTTATCACTCCATTTAACCTTACAATTGAGGTCAGCAACATAATATTCATGCAGGACCAACAGCAATTTGGGATACTAATCTGGAATACATGTATAGTGAAAGTATTGCAATTTGGGAACTTGTTCTTTTTATTTAGTGCATGACTTGTGAAGCGCATTTGACTTCCTCACAAAATGTATGTCGAGACTTGTTACTTGGACTTCAAATATTTACAAAATGTATCTTACTGACATGCTGCTACGTGCATGAGGAGTCAGGAGAGGGAAGATCTACATGTACATGGTACAGGTGGTAGACCACACCAAAGTACAATCAACTCTCGTTACCACAAACCTCCGGGGATATGATACAAAATGTATGCTAAGCAGAGTTCGAGGGAACCGAGATTTTCAACTTTTCCACATTAAAGTCCGATTTACACGTACATCGTAACTCACTCTGGCCAGCTAAATGGGCACGTTATTTGGCAATTTTCCTTCTTTTAAATTTATTCTAATAGTGTATTTTTTAAGTAAAAACTAACCTTTTTACCAAGATTTCATATTGTTCTTACCTAAAAGTGTCAATTCTATTGATAAACCTAATGATAAACCACTCAAATTGTGTAACTTTGTGTGGCAAATCTTTCTTTCGGATCGTTTTGTCTAGCAACGCACCACGCTTGTTGTGTTGGTGTCTTTTATTCCTTTTTTCCCCTCCTTTTTTATTTTATTCGAGTGAGGTTTGGCTAACGCAATAAAAAGCTGCATCCCCAAAGATTGCTATGCACTTACGTGGCCACCCCACTGTGCTAGTGATTGGGTATCCGATGCGGTCACATGTCCATTGTGCTAAGCCAGCGAGTGGCTCTGATTGGACAACCAGCATGTGAGCAAGCTCTGCAACTGAGCGTATCGATCAGGCAATAACGAGTGGTGTACACAAAGGTTTCCAATGCGGTCACCGCAAAGGACTACCAGCGTGTGGACTGCACCTGGGCCAGCGGTAGCAAGGTTTACTACTCGAAAGCCAGGACAGGTTATTGTGACTAGTCCGATCACAATGGCAGTGTGCGCGCAAAGTGTCCCAATGCGAAAAGACAAAGCAGGGGTTTCCTTTAACTTTTTCCTTTACTGGCCGGCCGGGCCAGTAAACCAGAGTTTTCACTGGCCCGCAACCTTTTTCACTAGCCCAGTAAGCCCACATGTTTTAATAGTAACTTTCAATCAAATCACCATAAGCATTTTTGATAACATTTTTGATAATAAATTATGCAATATGAATACAATCGGCAATTATCTTAATCATGTACATTATATTGCATGTAGTTCCTTTTTAAGTGATGTCAATGTTTCTTTAATCGTCCATGCTTTAACATAGAGCAAGGCTTTAATTAACAGGAATCAAATAGGGGGAGAAGTTATAATCAAAATTTATGCAGTGTGCTTCGTTCCGAACTTAAGGCTTTAGGTGTTCTATTTCCGACATGTTTTGATAAAACATGAACTAAAAAAGCGTTATCTTGAGGAACAAGAAAACATTGCACACAGTCGTGGTATTAATGGGAGTTTACCAAGTTAGTAACTGAACTGTTTTAACTTGTTTGAAAATGAGTGAGAAGGCCAGTATTTTCAAAAAAACATCTCTCGCGCGCGCCATGCATTTCTAGCGAAGAATGGTGCAATCAGCGTGCCTAGCCAAGAAGCGCTGCGGTCGGGCAACCCACGAACTTACGCTGGTCACGTCAATCCATAACGTTTTCCGGAGCACGGTCCACTTTACATTCACTAGTCTTTACATTCAAAATAGGCCCCTCGAATCTCATATTGTCCTCATCTTTTCGGTACATTCGTTTGATAGTGTTCAAGAAATCATCCCAAGAATTTGGCAGTGAAACTGTCATGAAAGTTTTCTCCTCACCACGTTGTATGATACAAATACGATGTTAACGTACGTACTGGACTCGACTAGACTGCAGACGAAGTAAATCACGTGCGCTGCATGTGTGCACAATGTGTAATGGCAAATACACGTTGATTCGCCTCATGTTCGTCATTGGGATTTCAATGCACAGAGCACTGCGAATATGCATGGAGTGATACGAATTCGAACTACCGATGTTTTTATTTCAGTCGGCGTGGCAAAAGTATTCATGTGTTGTATCACCCTTAACTTTTTATTTTGATTGATTGAAAAATACTGTAGGGAAAACTTCGTTATTTTTATTTTTTTTTAACAGTTTTTTGACTCGCCCGTCAGACTACTGAGAGGAGGGTTTAGACTCGCCCGCCGCTGTTTTCACTCGCATTTGGCGAGCGGGCGACCGCTCGCCAAATGCGAAGTGCGCTTGGCAGAGTCACTCATTAAAAAAAATCTGCGGCCTTTTTACACTACCGTTGCAGTTACAGGCTGGTTACTGTGACTTTTCCGATCACAATGGCAGCGTGCACACAGTGTCCAAGCATGAAAATACGAAGTGCACTGGGCAGTAATGACTCATGAAAGCAGTTTTGCGATCTTTTTGCACTTCTTTGTGACTGTTTTGGTGGTGTTTTCTATGAACTGGTTGAACAAAAGTTTGTGGTAAACGTAGGTACCAGTGCCGGTATTTGGAGATACAGGGGTATTTATGTACATAACATCCTATTCTCTTGACGGCAATGGGGTATTACTTCCAGATACACAGAGTTTCAAGGTATCCGACTGTGTTGTAACGACAGTTTACTGTGTAACTGTACTGTACATAAATGTATAAGTTACAAACTACAGCCTAAATACAAGTCCACTACCAGTCAATAACTGAATTAATAACTAATAAGATTTTCATGAACGTCAAAGTATTATGTACCTCATAAATTGGCAGACTGAAATCTTTGGAGTTCCACTGGTCAATCCGTTCTTGACTCAAGTCAACAACAGTGACTTGAACATCAGAGCATTTGTAGGCAATAACTGAGCATGTTGGTCCACCAACGTAGCCGGCCCCAATGCAACAGACTTTCTGGATGCCCATTTGCTAGCAGCGTTTGTTTCAATTCAGTCAATAATTCAGTCAATCTGTTGGGGAAAAATGGAAAAAATTAAAGGCTGGTTTATACATGTATATGTACTTAACAAGCCAACTGAATGTTGTATTCCAAGATTTATAATCATGATGACTGCCAAGATTGACCTGGTCAGTAAACATGGTAAATGACTGGTGATCAAGTTGCAGATGGTTGTAGTGAGAATTTCCCACAGACAATTTTACATCTGGTTTTGCCTTGTGGAAAGTCACATGACCATTCAAAGAGCTTTAATATGATGTACAACTTGGCTTTGTAGGTGCTCTTAACGATATGTACTGTTTCTTTTTCTTTCTTTTTCTTATTGATTTCGTCTCCATTTTCCGTTTCTTTGAACAGGTTTTGGATGCCATTTTCTTTTACGGAATGAACATGTACTTCGTGTATTAAAGCAAACGATGCACACAATGTACAGACTGTGCATGAAACAGTGTACACGTGTGATTAGTGTACATGTGCTGGCCGATGCATCAATCACGGGCCGTGCCATTCATAAACAGATGTCAGTTAGCAGTGTGTGGGACTTTTCACTCGACACTTCTTGCAAACTGCAGAGCACGATGCTGACTTATACAGAGGAATTTGTGTGGTTTTGAGGAAATGGGACTGAAAGTAACACGCCGACATACCGGTAGGCGAAATGGTGGCTTACAAAGGCCGTCTTAGAAATGAAAATGTCAATGGAAATATATATATTAGAGACAATCGGGACTTCCGTCAGACGGCCGATTTAAGCGATATGACGGTTTATACATGTACGATGTCAGTTTAGCCGGAGTTTACTGTACATGTAAAATCGCCGGGCCTTTAACCCTTACCCTACTTGACCCTCCAACGCATGCCAATATGTGCCTCAAGAAAATCTCCTATGTTTTTTGCATGGCCCTCCAATATCTGCCATGTCATTTCAAGGGTAACTGGACAGGCACTCCAATACATGCCACAGAGAACAATGAGAGTCCTCTGATAACAAAGTGAGTGCCCCCAGCTGGTCAGTATCAGGCACCCTCCAGGGCCTCCAACTCCTGCCAATTGGAGCCTTCACTGCTACATCAAAGTATCCTCCAATAAACTGCAGCTGGAGGGCATTGGCATAACCAACTGACATGCAGTAAACTACCCTCAGAGAGTAAGGGTTAGGGCAGAGATGCCAGCATTCAAAATTGAAAAAGAGTAATTTTCCATCAGACACCTGCTGAAGAAAGAAATTCCCTACATAACATAAAACCTGTTGAAAAAAAAACAGAAAATGTCACAGCGACATATATGTTGCAGAAGGCATATTTTTCCCCATGAACAGATTTCACAACAAAGTCCCACTTTTTGCTATACACATCTTTAACCCTAACGTACCTGAATCCATCAAAATCCACCCCCCCCCCCCCCCCCACCCTGTTTCGGGGGATTTCAGCGGATTCAGGATACCTCCATATTGAGCTGTTGGGGGACTTTGGTGGATTCAGGATCTCAACAGAATAACTCTTTGGCTATTTTTGTGGTCAAGTAAACACTGCCCCTTCGCCCTGCCAAGTCTTCACATGCTGTACAAAAATGTATGTACTGGGCGGTTGGGAGGTTGTGACTGGGGCTTATTAGGCCTCAGCATATAAACAACAAGCTGATTTACCCGAGACATGCAGTTATAGAAAAGCAATTTCTGTGGTGTGATCTGAGGCAATATCTGACCACTAAAACCAATTTGAGCAAAAGATCATCTTTTAAAGTTTTGAGTTTGGAGTAGGCTAATTGAATCAGCTACATGTATTCTGAGCGAAGGATGGTTGTACAGTTTTGACAATAAATCATAATGCAATGAAACGTGAAGGTGTCATTTGAAATGAAAATGTTGAGTGTTACCATAAAATTACAAACGGTCTGAATCATGGAGGAAGGTCATATGATATCAAAATGATATTCAAGAAGGTGTCATTGCCAATTGTTCAGATGTGTCAAGAAATATCAGAATGTCAATTTTGAGTGTCATTTACTAAAAATTTAGTCAACTGTTTTGGCGAGTCTAGTCTTTCCCTTCCTAGGAAGGAACTTCCTATAGGAACGGGGTCCTAAAGTAAGGATTACCAAAGTAAGGATTACCAGAAAACGACTGTACCGCGATAATACGGAGTCCCATCCTACATCATACATGTCCTACTCAGGAACTGAAGCAATATTTACTTACATTTACAATGAATACGGGCTGGGTCGAAAGTGGTCTGAGCACAACAGCACTAACTGTAGCAGGATTTCTGTCACTACAAGCATCAAAGTATATCGTTATCAGTTAATTTTAGTACGGTCACGCTTAAGTTAAAAAGGCAAAAATCTGATACGTGTCACTGTCAATTGAAAAGACCATGGAAAGACAAGCTGGGCGGCGCCGGGCGTATCTTTTACACGTTTTGTATGTAAAGCGCAGCGCCCGCCCGGGTGAAACATATGACGTCATTAAATTGGCTCGTGGGAAAGGGCGCCCCAAGCGTTAGATAGGTAAACGGAGCAAGCGGGATTTCATTTACATGGTACTTGGTTGGTTCTTCTCCTAAATACTCCGCAGGGGAGTTTTAACAGGAGGCCGGCCTCTTAAGGCATTCATTGCGATTTTTTTATTTAAGATGACGAAATGAAGAGACGAATAAATGAAGTAACAAATGAATGAACGAAAGGGGATAAACAGCGGCGTAGTCAGCGTTCTCCCGCGGCGTAGCTAGTGGGGGGTGGGGGCGGGGGTCATAAAAGGTTCGCCCCCTCACTGAAAATTTGGCGTCCGGAGAATGGGACAGCCATATGAACTGCAATGATTTGCTGGAAGAACATAAAGCCTCCCTTTTTCCGCGATTTTGTGCGTATTTTTCATCAAAACAATTCTTTTTTTTTTCGAGAGAGGCTGTTTATTGTAACGTCCCTTGGAAAGCGAAGCCTTGGCCTTAGCCTTAAAGGGAATATACAACATTTGCAAACATCGAAAAACAAAACTACCAAGTTTTTACGAAATACCTTACTAAGATGTTTATAAATGACGGTCTAAAGCATCCTGTCAAATTATGGCACCTGGTGTGAAGTCATTTTAAAGAAAATTGTAATTTTGTATACATTTCCAACTGCGGTCGGCCTACCACCGTTGAAAAAAAAACACTATTTTTCAACTACTGCTCCCAATTTACAAATTTTTTTTCAGTCACAATGTTGTTTGCTATTGGTTACATGTTCATGAACGGGTGCAGGCCAGCTAGACTGGTTCCCTTACCTTACAATTTTCCAGCATCTATAAATTATTGATCCATTTTATCTTTACTGGAGTCAGGGAACCAGACTACTTGAGCATTTTTTTTTTTTCCCAGCATTTTCGAACACAAAACTCCAAACATGTCAGTGTAACAATATTTGATCTATACTAACCCTCAAATAGTTCCTTTCTGAAAATTACAGCAAAAGCCAATGATGTACATTCCCTTTAAGGCTTAAGGGTCAAAGCCTTGGCCTTGGCCTTGGGGTCAAAGCATTGGCCTTGGCCTTGGCCTTGAGGGTCAAAGCCAATGCTCCAACACTGAATAGCGGTATGTAGCCATGATATACGTTTTGAACAACGCCCCCATGGGAAGATGGTGGCCAGCACACCCCCCCCCCCCCGATTATTTGAATTTACGGAAGGCGGGTGTCCGGTGAAAAACAACTGTCTACCTTTCAGCATTGATGACATTTTTGGCGCCCCTCCATTGTAACCTCAAGCCCCCCCCCCACACGCACCCCCCCCCCCCCCAGATGAGAACCCTGGCTACGGCGCTAGTGTTCTCACCATCATATGGCTCGAGTGTGGGGGGGGGTGTTACAGTGGGAAGGCACCAATTTGTGTGTAGCATCCGTGCTAAAAGGTATTGCTTTTAATTCAAGAGTCCACAACTTTCCCGGCAAGGATGGGAGGCTGGTGGGCGGATGGGTGTTGATTTCAGGCAGCCAGTGACAACTCTGAGTGCAGTGTGATAACCAATAATAAGCTACCACATTGAAAAGGCTATCATATCAAAACATAAACCAGGGATGTACAGCAATCAAAATATAGGCCTAACAACTACATCTTGCCACCTCTGCATGGGTACCAATTGGTGATTTTGGGGTCATGGCCAATCGACTATCTAGCTGGGTTTAGTATAGTGGTGTTCCCTAACGTGGCGCACTTCGACGTTTACCCCGACTTTTCACACGGTGTTGCCAAACTTCTTTGTTGACATACTTCAAATTGATTCACTGAAATACTGGTACTTTTACTAATGCTTGCTATTTAACCTCTGCGAACAATTTCGGTGTCATGAAATTTAATCCGAAATTCAAAAACGGTGGCGTTCGGAAATTGGGCACAAATCGGCTGAGTGTGCCCGAACGTGGCACATAAATCTCGGAAACTTCCATGTTAACATTTAAGAATTTCTGTAAAATTGATAAATTCTGATAAACTATTATTATCTCTACTTACATACCCAACTAGAAGTTTGTCAGATTTTTTTTGCAGATTTTTGGATGACATTTTCAAAGGGTTCACTGTGCACTTCGAAATAAAATCGGAAAATCACGCCGAAATACATTTTTCTTCTAACTTTGAAACGGGTAGATAAACTCGTGATTTATGAACAGGACAAAATTTCACTTTCTTTGAAATTTCAATTAAAAATTGAGATAAGTTTTGTGGTGAAATCAAAGGTGTGTTTTCTTTTTGTATATATCCCCCCATGTTCCACTGACATTGCATACCTTTTGAAACCTGCCTACTTAAAACCAATAGCTTATCATTTGTATGTGTTTTTCAGACGTGAAGCTGCATAACCTGGCAAGCTGCCTTGAAAGCTGCCGCCAACACAACTTACACCCTCCACAATAAGATGGAGTCGTACCCACCCAGAGACTCAAAAGCCGGAAACATTTTGTACAGAGCTGCCCACAACCGAGTTCTTGCATTCCAACAACAGATATCCCCACGCCAGAGAGAAGTGGCTGCTGTCAGATAACGGGAGCTAAGACAGCCTGAAGGTCGACTGAATAACCTCCTGCAGGTCTCCATCAAACCAACAGGGTTTGACCTTCCGATAAAAGAGTGGTGCCGCCTCTTGAGACTCAGAACTGGTGTATGTCTTTTCAATACCTGCATGCATGCCTGAAGGCTCCAACACCGCGATGCGAGTGCGGTGCACCTCAGCGTGGCCCATCCACCGACTTACATGAGGCTGCCAGGGATTCCATAAGGGAGCTCAATGAGGAAGCAAGAATCTGGCTTCAACTGCTAACTTCAAGCATCCCTGCAGAGCCGCCCTAATCCGACCACACAAAAATAGAAAAAGAGGAAACCCAAGTTCTGATATCCAGACCTCTTTTAATGTTAAAGCTTAAGAGGGGTGTTTCACAAAACATGAAGTTAAAGGGGTATAGCCTTTTGTAGACTAATTGGGCGCATTCCAAGACGTTATTCCCTTTAAATTGTTGAACAAAATCGCCGTTGGAAACGTATAAATTTTGATTTGGTTTGACATTTTGACCGAAAGCTATTTACTTATGGGAACAGATTCTAAAGGTAGAGTATCATTTACAGCTATCCAAAAGTAATTGACGTTAGTATTGTTGAAAAGCTTAGTTGGAAGTTTAAAGATTTTGCACTAAACTGCCTGTGAAATTATTCTTCCTGGAATGCTGTCATTTTGAAGAAAACAAAGGTCATTTCCAAAGATGCGCGACGGTGTAAAGACGCATTTTTTGGGAGATTTCCGTTAGTCCAAAAAAAATAAATAAGTCGGTCTCTGGTCAGCGCGCGCGTCGATTTTAATCATGCGCGTCGATTTTTTTTTTCCAAAATGTTCCGCGGTAGCTCCAACAGCGCCCTCTATTTCCGCACCTCCTTAATTTTTTTTTACCAAAGAGCACCAAGGAAAGGGAAATTGCACCAAGCAAATGATCGAAAGCACCAAGGCAAATTATGGAGGACACCAATGTACATGAGGACACCAAAAAAGCAAAATAGTACCCACCTTGTCTGTACAATCCAAGCTTGAATTAAAAAAAAAGCCGCGTGGCCGCGTCAATTCCGGAACTTTGGTCTGACCAGAGACCGAATATTTTTTTTTTGGCCTTACTGTTCGTTTTTAATTCGACGAAGCCGTGACACATCAAAACTCTCTTAATAACCATGCATGCCACTGTCACTTATCATAACCTTTATCAAAATACCTTCTGCTTCCAATGTTAAAGCAACATGCTTTGTAATGTCAAGAGTTTCAATATATAGTCTTGCCCAACCTTCAACTCAGTCTATGTACATGGCAGACCCTTTTATTGTGAAGCCGTTGTGTAAACATTGTATCCGAACCGACCAATAACAGTTTAAGTCCTGATTTGGGAATGAAATGACGTCACGAACTAGTAACGTCGACTCCGATTGGCGCTCGGCATCGCAGTGCATTCCTACACTCTCAAAACGTTGGTTAACTTTGGGTAAATTTAACAAGCGGTTGGTAAAATGACTAATTTTAACCGACTGTTGTTTACCAGGTGAACAACCCAACAGCTGGTTAAAAAAAAACAATACTCAACGTTGTGCAAAATGTGCCCAACGTTGAGTAAGCGTTGGGCAAAATTGGAAAATTTAACCAAGTTTTTTTAACTAACCAAATTTTAACCAGCGTTTTGAGAGTGTTGATAATATCAAACGTTCGACCGGAGGTAGGGCTCCGTGGAGAACTGGTGATACTCAGACTACCTTCTATTTATAGGGATTAATCTGATATCGTTTTCATGATACGACATGGTTTCATTTAACTGAAATATCACGTACCTTAAATGTGATCCGTGGACAACATATTAAAACTGTGTTTGTGTTCAAATTTCCATAACTAAAAAAACACGAGTGATTTTAATGATTTTTGTACTAAAAGAAAGGTTTATTAATTAAGCTAAATTTCATATCCTATCTGGAAAGCGCTACATGCGGAACTTTTTTTTTACAAAATAGGGGGCGCCATGTGGGTTTACTATTTTTTGTTTACTCACTCTGTACTGCATTCACGGAGCTACAACTTCATTAGGTAAGTTATTAAAGGAAAATACAACATTTGCAAACATAAAAACACCGAAATTATCCAATTATCACGAAATACCTTACTTGATTGTTAGGGAAAGACAGTTTAAAGCATTCTGTAAAATTGTGGCTCCCCGCCGGTGTGCTGACATTTTCAAGAAAGCTTGTATTTTTCCAACGCTGGTCCGGCCAACCAGCGTTGGAGAAAACTGGCTATTTTAAAAAACTACCCAATATTTGTTATATCTAGTTATTCCACATTTTCTTTGCAAATTGATTACACACCTGTGAACGGGTACAAGCCAGCTAAATTGATACTCTGACCGTACAATTATCTATAAATTGCTCCATTTCTTCCTAAGTGG